CGATTTATATCTATTTGCTGATAAAGTCCTAAAGGGCACCTCATACACACGGGCGACATCTGGAAATGTTTTGCAGCCTATGGAGAGCGTGGTAACATCGTCATTCCTCAGGGATTTTACGACGTTCACTGGTTTGAATTTGTTTAAATACAATTCCGCGCGTAAGTTTTGAAGTACAGCAAGACTCAAATTTAGTTACAATTATGATAACAGACAAAAATCTTAAATTGCATTTGGGTAAAGAAGTCTCAAAACTGTTAAACCTACCAAAAGGTACAGTAATTGTTACTTACAAAGGCAAAATAAACGTAAACCCTTTTAATGAGCTTTGGAGACACTGTTGCGAGTTGAACACGAGTTAAAACTGCTTTAACGGTCGACCTTCAGATGTGTTGTGCTCTATCACAGACCCAAGCATTACAGCAGAACCACTTAAAACCGGTAAAATAACAACTTTCCATTTTTCAGTGACGTGAGAAACGACAGGGGAAGTGATTAACAATAAAGGAGCTGGAATTTCGATCGAGTTAGTGGTGACTTGAGTTTTGCCACTCACAAAATGGTTTCAAGTGAATAATTAAAAAGAAACCACGAGTAATAATCCTCAAGAGTCAAGTCAGCCAGAGTTACCAAAAATCAGCGAGAGAAGCGTGCAAGATGACCAAACAAAACTCTACAGACTCAAAAAGATTGAAGACATAAAGAAAGAGATCGTTAAAGAGCGCAGCGCGAGAGAAACCACTCCCAAATTCGGAGGGTTGTAAAAAGATGGGGGGTCGTTTTACGTTTGAGGAGACTGAGTGGGTTTGTCGTCACTGTTATAAAAAAACAACCCAAGGGTTTTCCTCCAAAATACAGTGAGCAAGAAACTGAAATGAGCACTTCGGCACCACCAGCGAGTGAGTAAAAACCAAACTTGTCTCGTTTCAAATTGAAACGAGACAAATTAAAACTTGTTTTTCTTAAAATCCCCCTCGTCGCTACCCGTAGCAAAGCGAGAGCAGCGAGAGGAGCGCAGCGAGGCAGTGAGAAGAGCGCAGCGAGGTGAGCCGAGCCGCTACAACAGGAGCAAAGCGACTACAATTCTATTCCTTAGACCAAAACCAGGGGCACTGTTAATTTTATTTTTTATTATAAAACTTAGACAAATGGGGTATTTAGGCAGTTTACCCTGATTAGGTATCCAGGTATGACGTGACAGAGGGCGCTAGTCACTAGGTGCGGTGCAAAGTTACAGAAAGCGCTCTGCCCAGTAACAGAGGCAGATGTTGGGCGCACATAGCTGTGTGTTAAGCAAGCGCGACGCATAGGCTCCGCCTTGTACGTTGTGCGATAGGGCAGCAGAAGTCACTGCTTGGTCACTGAGCGCGGGCGTGGTCACAGCAGCGCAAAAGCTATAAAGGGCGCGCGCAGGCTAGGTCTAGTCGTCTTGATCAAGGGCTGATCCTGAGGTAAGGGTCGAGAATCCAGTGCAAGGGCTAAAGTCACCGTGCCTAGTACATAGTGTGACTGTGCCTAAGTCCCGAGTGGTGCGTGTGTCGTTGAGGGGCTCGGTAGGTTGAGGGGCTAATTGGTGGTGCGGTATAGTTCCTGATAGGAGTTTGCGGTCGATGCAAGGGCGGATTGCTATCTCGTGACGTGAGTTGCGTGTAGCGCAGCCCTGACAATAAGCCCCGTAGACTTGCTAAAGTCCCTGATTCGGCACTGGATGCCCACAATTAATTGTGGTGTTCGCTGCTCTGGGCGAAGTCCGGTCACGTATAATCACACAGTCTCCCCGTCAATAGCGCCCTCTACTGGTGTATTGCTTATATATATATATTGCTTATATAAGTCAGGTCTGTCTGGGTTACGTCATTAAGTTTCAACCAATCAGATTAGCCATTATCTCGACGAAGACCAATTTTCTTGGGGGACGGTATACTTCAGTCCCAACGGACTCGTCCCCAGCCCCACAGGGACTCTCCGGCGTGCCGTCCGACGAGCCGCACCTCGAGGAGGAGGGCGCCCTCACCTTCGTCGGAGGGGCGCGGCGTCACAAATTGGTGTCAGAAGTGGGATCATCCTCGAAGGTTTTGTTTACAGAGAGTTTTGAGTTCCAGTTTCCTGTGATTTGATTGGCAGATGCAGCAGCTACTGTGGGCGTCAACTGCGTTAGCTTTGGTTTGCATTGTGTTGGCTGTCATTTACTTTTGGTACGTTCGGCTTGTTCATCGAAGAGATAGGAGGTACTTCCGTTGGTTGAGGTCTGAAAGAGTTTATCCGCCGGCTTAGTACGAGGTTGAAACAGCAGTATGAATGGTAGCTCAAGTGAGGGGGACTTGCACAGGTCCCGGGTGGAGGTTCAGTTGTTGCAGTGGGAGAAGGCTCAGCAGTTGGACAGAATCATGAAGTCAGAAGCGGCATTGCGAGATGCTAAGGAAGCAGGATCGAGCCCGATTCGCAGACCTGGTCCAAGTGATGTGCAGAAGTCATTTGAGCACGTGATAATTGATTTGAATGTTGTATTCCGGCTCCCCGGCCAAGATTTGGCTGGAAACAGAGAGGAGACGTCAGGGTATCGGTCGTTCAGAGCACCAGCGCTGACTGAATTGATGACGCCAGAAGTCCATTGCAAGGAAGACGATGGTGGGCGCAGTTTAATTGATTGGACACCTCCAAGGTAAAAGGCGCCGTCCAGTCCGATAGTCTCTGCGGTACATGGAGGGGGTGTGAACAAGAGTCCATGTGTTCACGTGCCAACTGCACCTGATGCAGAGAAGAAGCTCCACAGCGAGCTGATGAGTTTTGCCACGCGTTCGCCAAGTATTAAGACTGACAACGCGCGGGCTGATGAGAAGGATGGGGCGGGGCCTTGTCCAGTAAAAAGGGAGGAGAAAGTTGTTGGAGAAGATGAGTTGCGGGGAAGGATTAGTCTGGTTCCCCGCCGACCAAGTATTTTTCCCGACCGCTACAGTGGCAAAGTGCCGTGGAATGAGTACTACGGGCACTTCGAGAGTTGTCGGTTGGTGAACCGATGGGACGATTTACAATTGGCCGAGTATTTGGCCGCGAGCCTCCAAGGAGATGCAATTCGCATTCTTGGAGAGGGCACCCTCCAGGGCCGGAAGTTGAAGTATGAAAAGTTAGTTAAGCTGTTGGCTAGGAGGTTTTGGCCTGGCCAGCAGGCTGAGAATTTTCTAGTCGAGTTACGTCATCGTCGGCAGAAGCCAAAGGAGTCTTTGCAAGAGTTGTGTCGGGCAGTACATGAGTTAGCAGTTAAGGCGTATCCGGAAATTCACGAAGAGGCGAGAGAGCGATTGGAGAAAAATCATTTTATGGACGCTGTAGCTGATCAGTACGTCCGAGAGGGAATCTTCCGAGCAAGGCCGAAGAATTTGTCTGAGGCATTGCAGGCGGCGCTTGAGACTGAGAACTTCCATAAGGTAGAGGCGCAAAGAAAAGTCGACGAGAGACCAGTCAAGTTTGTCAGAGGTGTAGATAGGGACATTGAAGAAAGGATGCAGTCTGTCGAACGAGCCATAAATTTTTTGTGTAGCCGACATTTTGGAGAAATTGCTGGGGGCCATGTTGTCACGACCAGTGGCGTCACCGGCTACGTTAGACCAATAGGTGTCAGGTACCCCGCCTCCTCTGCGGAGGCCGAAGGCTGAATTAAATTGTCATATTTGTGGTGCAACGGGAAACTTTGCTAGACAATGTACACAGCCGAAACAAAAGCGTCCCCGTAACCAGGGAAACGAGAACCAGCCGACGGAGGGTCCGCGGAAAGGCTGAGGAATGCAGAGGGTCCACAGGTGAAGGGCGACAGAGTTTGAAGAGGAAGAATGAGAGCGAGGTTGGAGTCGGTACGGTAATGACTCCAGCAATGGGGCCACACCATGGTTTATTTGTTAAGGGGTCGATTAGATCAACCGAGTTTCGAATATTAATCGATACTGGCGCTACCGACACGTTGATTAACATGACAGTATGTCACCAACTACCGAAGAAACAGAGGCCGACTGTGCAAGAGTGTGATACCATGGTCCGGCATGTGGATGGAAGCCCGTTGAAAGTATACGGGACTGCATAGTTAGATTTACGAATCAGGAAGACTGTGCACCCGATTAAAGCCACCTTTGCAGATATTGGAACACCAGCTATGTTGGGAATGGACTGGTTGTTGTCTACAGGGGGTAGTCTTGATTTCAGTAGACTTGAGTTATGTGTCAATGGCGAACGAATTAAGTGTACGACTGCTGCCGGTGCGCCAGTTGTCGGCAATTGCTGATAGCTGTCTAGACGACCTTGAAAACAATGCGACTATTGTGATGCACAAGATGATTCTGATGGTGGCAATGCCGATATTGATACGACTGTTACTGTGGAAGAAGATAAACAAAAGTCAACCTCGAGCCCAGGAGATGAGAAAGGGGCCCGAGTTGCTGTAGTGGAGCCTGCTGTAAGCAGCAAAGGACTTAGAAACGCCCAAATGGCGGATGAGTCGACAAAGTGGCTGTTAATTGCCAAGGGTGAGGGGAAGGAGCCCCTCGTAGCTCACAGGTCTCCGGCAAGTGAGAGGTATTGGTCATACCGGGATCAGTTGGTGGTGAGAGACGGTGTACTATACCAGCAATGGGAGTCGAATGATGGTTGTTCGGTTCAATTATAGAAAAGAATTCAGCACATCTAAACCTTAACTCTCGAACGACGTACGTGGACGCTGCCATATTGCATGTTGCTTGTGATAACCGGTTATTTGTTCCCAGCGTTCGAGCGGCCGACCCACGAACGACAAATCGAGCTGTTCGTGAACATACGGGAACAAGCCATCCGAACTCAGCCCGGCGTTCGTCCTGGTTCCGCTGATTTGCATATTTTCCAGGCCGCGTGAGGTCGCTCTTCGCCGTGCTCTTCAGGGTGCTGAAAGAATCGCCTTGACTAAGCTATGCAAGATCGTACACAATGAGAGCGAGGTTGTTCGTATAACGCTTGGCTTACACGTACAGGAAGTGATAACCTTGTCTCACAGGTCGTAGCCACAGTGTAAAGTCAATCAGCCCTTCCTTCCCGGGCGCTGGTTGACGGGCAAACTTGCAAATCCGCTGCCTGGCGGTTACGGCTTACAACTGTAACACGTTCACGCGGTACTAGTTGTACTGAACGTCTGTCTAAGCTTCATAAATACTGGGAGGAATCGGCCATGATGGTAGGTGTTGCCGGTTAGGTCTACATTCTACTTAGTTGACTGGGAGTGATCTGTGTACTAGTTTGATATATTGAACACATTGACTGGTTGAGGTTGTTTTTTTGCGGAGCAGTGGACAGTGAACATGGTGAGGCAGCAAAATAGCATATTGACATGATTGAGCGTGTACATTTTTAACATTCTCACGGTCACGTCTGCGGTTAGCCCCACTACTGTGTGGCACGGACTCTCACTCCCGATCCATCCTTAGCCACACATCCGTATGCGCAATTTCGTGTCGGCGTACTGAACATTTTTGGCGCACCCACTTATAATCGTGGGCGCAATTTCTTTTGCACACGAACATGATTCTTGACCTTTCCGTTTTCTAAATACCATTTATTGAATGATTTCACTCACGTTATTCAGGTATTTCCAGTCTTTTTTCCTTTATCCGTTCAATCTAACGGGCTCGCTCTCACAGTCGCCATCTTTAAAATAAGGTTGTTGAGCATTACGTCACTTGACCCCTCATCGTCTCAACGGCTGTTCCATGTCAAGACATGTAATAAACGGACTGAGCGATGTACCAATGGACTCTTCCAAAACTTTGGCAGCAGTTTAGATGTCTTGACATGGAACAGCCGTTGAGACGATGAGGGGTCAAGTGACGTAATGCTCAACGACCTTATTTTAAAGATGGCGACTGTGAGAGTGAGCCTGTTAGATTGAATGGATTTATAAAGGAAAAAAGACTGGAAAATACCTGAATAACGTGAGTGAAATCATTCAACAAATGGTATTTAGAAAATGGAAAGGTCAAGAATCATGTTCGTGTGCAAAAGAAATTGCACCCACGATTATAAGTGGGTGCGCCAAAAATGTTCAGTACGCCGACACGAAATTGTGCATACGGATGTGTGGCTAAGGATGGATCGGGAGTGAGAGTCCGTGCCACACTAGTGGGGCTAGTCTGCGGTCTGGGCTAAGGGGGAGTCTCCATTCACTTTTCCTCCTTTTTTGCTGCGACATGATAAATATAAATTATAACTGAAACCTTTCCGGTACAGAGTTGGAGATAATCTTAGCGCATAAATAGTTAAATTTCAGGCACATTTGATCAAATTGATGTAAATGTCAAGAGTTTGAGTCAATAACTCAGATTTTTCTCATCATAGACATAAGGCGACAACACTCTTTTTGCCCCAATGAGCTTCGAGTGTGCACGTATGTTCGGTCCCCATAGACAGTGCATGCATTTAGTTTGTGAATTCACGCATGCTCAACAGTAACATATGGTCGTCGGCCTGAAAACTGATATTCTAGTAGACAACGCATATCGGTGAGGAATTTATCCTGCCATTTCCCTTGGAGACCTCGCGTGTGAATAAATAAACCTTTTCGACGTTCACGATGCATTATGGGTGTGGATGACAAACAAGCAATACATTTTATGCACAACCCTATGGGGGAAGTGAACCCCAAGTCAAAAATCAAGTTACAGTTTTCTACTAAATAATTTTTAACTCACACTGCGTATTATCAAATTATTCAAGAAACATTTTCAAATATGTTTTTAAATATTTGTAAGAACAAATCATCCTTAATTGCCTTTTTTTTAAGGGCACCAGTCACTCTACAGGCTGAAAATGAACGTGACTGGTCAAAGCGGGACGAATGAGCTGCAAGTTGTAATTTTGACTGGAAAATGCTAGAACATTAACATTCACGAATTAGTCAAAGCACGATCTGTGACAAAAAGGAGTGTTGTTCGAAGGATTTCTCTGAATTTTTCTTCTCTGCCAAGCTTTAAACTTCGAATTTTGTGAATATCTTCGTCCCAAATCAATAATCCAAACTTTGTCAGAAGGGGGTGGCTTGAATTGGAGTTTGAAATAAAATGGAAATAGATTAACGTTTGGCAGGTACACTTCTCCCATAGGCCTGTGTATAAAATGCATTTCATGTACATGTATGTCATCCAAACCCAATGCATTGTGAACATTGAAAACGTTTATTGCCAAGAATCTTTCAAATGGTGATATATAGGCCTAATGGCTTTTGATAAGAAAGATCTCCGGTCTACTAATCAAAGAAGTGGAAAACATCAATTTATGTTTTTGGATAATTATCAAAAATTACCTTTTTTAGAGCTAAATTTGAGTCTAATTTTCACAATTTTGCCGGGTTTACCTTCAAATAACTTTGATGCCACATGAAAGACTAGTAACTCTTACGATCAAAAAAGTTTATTTCTTCTCGGCAGAAAACCTTGTTTTGAACTTGACTTCGTTTTTTATTTGGACCCATTTTCGTCGTTTTCCATGTTTTTCACCTTACTAAAGTGCCCAATTTTCAAACTTTTGTCGAATTTCCCTCAGGTCTTCGGTGATACTGTCTGGAAGACTGGTTAATCATTTGTATCCATCAGTTAATTTCTTCCAGACTGAGAGCCATTCGTCTGAAAGGCGGTTTGTTTTTCATGCGGATTCTAATATCCGCACTGAGTCCGACATGCTGGACAGCGGTCAAAAATGAGATGTCCGGATTTTGGGCTTGGTGCACACGCACACATCCATACACCTGGATACGAGTGCGTTTGGCTAGTTGACTTTTACTGCACTGCACTAATACATACAACGACGTCAAATTGCCCGACTAAAAGGTCCAAACAAAAACTTTGAGTTCTCATCCATACGGTTTTCTTCTTGCATGATACTATTCATTAGAGCATTCATGGTATTCCTCACCATTCACAAGTTGAGAAATGTCGGGGAAAACTCGACAAAACTGAAAAATTCCCTCTACAATGTTGGCTTCACATCCAACTTCTGACTCTGTTACTTTAGAGGTACGTAAGACTAAGAAAGACGAGCAAAAATTTGGCAGAAAATGGATTTTTATCATGTGCAAGTTAGCAAAAGAGATTTTGAGTGTTTAAATACTAATTGGTATGAAAATGAGGGGCAAACAACTTTTCCTGAGCTTGATGTTGATCGATTACTTTTGGGGTCAACCTGTCCGAGTCAAGAGCCATTTTACTGGCTTCTGGCTGTAGTGGGATGTAGTACGCATGCGCATAAACAAAGTGAGGGGCATGAACATACGTGTGTGAAATGTGGAATAGTCACCAATCGACCAATCAGAGAGAAGAATAAAGAATCAGTGACATCATCCCGATTGCGAGAATAGGGCCTAACTTTTACCAAATTCCAGGGCAGCGTGAGTGTAGTGTGAGGCCTACGCACTATTTACCATGTTTATTTTGCTAGTCATGCACATCAGCCTAGAACAGACCAGTTGCCGCATTTTTATTTGGCAGGTTTAGTGCTTAGTGTAGCGGCATTGCAACATTGCATTGAGCTATCGAGCATTATCATGTACTTGTTGCCTTCAGCACAATAGCATACCACAAATATAACAAAGGGAATCTGTGAAAATAATGCAATGGAAGTGCCTTCTCAGAAATTTAGAATGGAAGGAGCCGAATAAATCAGTGAGATGGGCTACCTCACATGTGAATAGGCAGGGGAAACCCTGGTTGGAGACACATGTATGCCTCATTTTTTCCGTAAATTGTTAACATGCTGCCAGACATGATACAGAAGTATTAACCCAGTATACTAATGGGGCAAGGGAGTATATTCCCGACCAACCTTGTTTGAATGGGTACAATCTTACCGCACCATGCTTATTTCCACCATACATTGTGTGATCTTAATCTAGGTATTTTTGAGCTTGAAATATCCCATGTACATGGCGTGCGGGAGAATACGTGGGTGCAAGTATGTAGCTTTTGAAATACGAGTGCGATTCACTTCACTTATCCTGAATAGCCACTTAAGTGTCATTTTCGTATTCTACAGGCCCAGGGGTTAGTGAAGGAAGGTGCATGTACATGAAGCCTATGGAGGCCAAGTTAATAACTGGGGTGCACACCTCCCAGTGCTGCCATTGTAGACTCTAAAAGGGTATATTTAAGCCTTTGGCTTGTGGCATCAGTGTCATCAACTTGTATTTTCAAAGCATTCTCATAGAACCATCTTTAATAATAATAAGTTAGTATTTATAAAGCGCCCGTCCATGATAAAATCGTGCTCCAGGGCACTTTCCAAAAAGTTAAGACACTGGTTAAAACTACAATACAATTGCACTAAAAACAATAAAAAATAGTAAAACAAATTATTGTAAACAATAAAAACTAGCAATTAAAAAGTTTTAAAATGATCCAAAAATCTGTAAAATATACCTACCTCAAAAATGGAATTGGGACAATTAGATTAAAAAAACGCTTGCTTAAAAAGATGAGTCTTTAATCCGGATTTAAATTCACTGACAGACTCAGCTTCCCTAAGGGTTCTATTCAGCTTGTTCCACTCTTGTGGGGCAACAACTGAGAACGCTCTGTCACCATACAAAGACAACTTAGTTTTTGGACAGTATAACCTCGTTGCATCTTGGGACTGGCGAGTGGATTTGTGGGAAACAGATCTAGTACTAACAATTAATTCATTTAAGTAGTTTGGACACTTTAAATTGAGAATACAAGTTCAGGTTTTCCTTTCAAAATGCAGGATGGGGTGGAAGACAGCTCTGACCTCCTTTCAGAGGATCAAAGCAAGGTAAGAAAAAAGCTTAATATCAGTATCTGATTCCCTCATGTTGTATGGTGATATTTCATCAAATGTACATGTAAAGAGCAGGAACTTTGTTCCTGAAGGAGCAAGGCAATGTTTCATTTGCGAAGGGCACTTGTATTTGAAAATCAACTTGCCTGTAGGGACATTTCAGTTGGCATCAGGGCAAAGACCAGAGGCATCAAGGCAATTGCTTCCAATGCCTCTGTGAAGTTCCTGCCCTGTATGTACACTGTACATGTGTTGCATCATAACATGTGAAACAAATTTTTGTGAAAACTACAGTAAGTTACAGGTGCTACTGTTATTTTATAAAAAAAAGATATATGTAATACAAATGAAATGCAAACACCAAGACCGGTCTATTGTAATTTATGGCCGGGGACAAAGTCAACATAGCAACAGCTAGAATGCCAAGACTGATGATCAACTGGTAAGTAATCTTTTTTTGTTTGTTTTGTGATGATCTGCTCAGGTGAATGGGGCAGGAGATATGGGGGGGGGTTGGGCATTCATGGCTTCATTTCTTGAGAAGTTGAATGTGATAAAAGTCCTTTTAAAATCGATAACTGATATTGGTCACCGAGGCGGTGCATTTGATGACTGGCTGTAGTTGGTAACCGAAACGGACGATTAGTGATTGTGCACAGTCCAACATTCTACATCGGGCCAAAAGTAAACAGCTAACACAAGAGATCTTATTCCTCCATGTGATGAATAACTCTGCTTTCAAGTGTGATCCAGGATTTATAAACATTCCTTATAAGTGGGTTGCCAAAATGCTTTTCATGCAACATACATGTAGTCACAAAAACCTTTCATGTCAAGGAATTTCGCACTGTAGGATTTCGCTACAACAGATGTTCTCGCCGGGACTGATTTGTGTTGTAACAGGAATTTTGTTATTGTCAATCGTTATTGTCTCAAGACAAGTATTCACAGTGCTCTAGAACCTATGTCAAGAAGAGTCCATCCACATCCTGCCAACAGACAAAGGTAATGCAACAGTACTTATGATTAAGTCCGACTATGTCAATAAAGTCACTGACATCCTCTCCACGCCTACTTACCACCCCCTGCAGAAAGACCCCACTCCATCTGTTGAACGGAAGATCGCCAGCAAGTTGTTGGCACTCCACTGCTCTGATGCCATCCCCTACCAGCTGTACAGACAGCTCAGACCGACCAGCTCCACCTGCCCCAGGTTCTTTGGTCAGGTGAAGATACACAAACCTGGCACCCCACTCCGTCCCATTGTCGCTTCAAGAGGAGGCCCCACCTACACCACTGCCAAGCACCTTACCACAATGCTCCAACCCTTGGTGGGTAAATCCCTGCATCGTGTGCCCAACTCTGATCAGTTTTTTAAATGATCAAGCAACTTCAACTCAGCCTTGACGACATCATGGTTAGCTTTGATTTCATTTCCCTCTTCACAAACTTCCCACAGACGGTGCCTGCCTCATTGCTAAAGAACGCCTAGAGCAAGCCCCCTCTCTCTGTGAGCACACAGCCCTATCCCTTGACCAAATCCATGACCTGTTGCCAACCTGCGTCTCGTCATCTAGCTTCAAATGGAGGGACAAGTTCTTTCAACAGTCACCTGGGACCTCCGTTGGATCTCCTCCATCCCCAGTCCTGGATGACATGTTCATGGAAGTTTTCGAAAATACAGCACTTTGACACATCCCAAGCACCTGGCTATCCTATGTGGACGACACCTTCATCGTTTGGCCACATGGCCCCCAACACCTGCAAGCGTTTCTGGATCACCTCAACGACCTGCATCCCAATATAAAGTTCACCATGGAACAGGAGTAGAAGAATTCCATGCCTTTCCTGGATGTCAAGGTCTCCCGCCACCCAGGTTGATCCCAGTGGCATGCCGTCTACTGTAAGCTGACCCACACAGACGGATATCTGCACAGCTCGTCATTCCATCATCCCAGCATCAAGTCATCAGTTAACTGTCAACTGTCCCCTGGTGCAATGAGCCTACAAGATCTGTGACCAAGAACACATCCAAGAAGAACTCAAGTACATCTCAAGAGCCCTTCAAGTGCAACGGTTACTGCCAACATCAAGAACCGAAGTCTACTGACGGTTTGGTCTCCTATACCCAAAGTCAACCAACCTCGTACAAGGCAACAGTGACCCTACCATCCTCACATGTAGGAAACGCATCCCACAAGATCCAACGCATCCTTCACCAAGCCAACATCCGAGTATTCCATGCTGCAGCCAAGAAACTTCAAACTACCCTGCAGACCCACAAGGACAAGCAAACCATCAGACGAAAGCTGGTGTCTACAGGATCCCCTGCAAATGTGTATATCGGTGAGACTGGTCAGGACTTGCCCAGCAGACTCAAAGAACTCATCACCCATGGACGCAGAGGTGACTGTGATAATCAGTGATTGTCAAGCACTCACACATCAAGGATCACGTCCTCAACTGGTAAGCAGCTCAACTCATCGCTCCAGTCAACAGATGGTACCTAAGACGCGTCAGGGAAGCAATCCAGATCTACAAGCATGACACAGTACCCTAAGACGTTGGGTTCTACATCAGCAGTATCTGGCACTCCATATTACCTCCCAGACCAATGGGTTGTCTATACCCATGGTCACTAGTTCCTCCTCTCACTACACCCAATATCCCACTGCCACACATCAGTGAGCACACTCAGTAGCCTTTCAGTCCAGCGGATCAGCCATCAAGCAAGCCGTTCTGCTCCAGTGCACCCTCAGCATCCTCTCCAGCACTTGAACCAGCATCCTCAGAGCAAGGCAACCAGTCACCCTCCTGAAGACGAACAGAGCATGCTGTTCAGAACGTTGAGAGTTCACCATTGGTTCTTCTCAGAACTACACACTCATAAAAGAGATTTTATTTTCTTGTCCATGGTGTAACCGCAAACCTAACCTTATTTAGTATTTCTACCATAGCTTCTACCATTTCTGCATAGCTTCAAGTCTTATTGGTCAGTTTTGTAGTAATAAGAGTCGACTGTAATCCAGTCACACTGGTATGGGAAGATAGTCCTCAACTGGTGCTGATCCCCAGAGTGCTGTTTTGGTCTAAATTTTTCTTTTCTCTTTTGGTGCATCCAACTTGAACTTCATTTTCAGCCTGTTTTCTTATCCCTTGACCCAGTAGAAAGCTTAGTTGAATGTTTTCATGAGTAAAAGTTTGTCTAAAAACAGTTAATCATTGTAAACTTTGAAGCTGAACATATTTTTGAAAAGAAAAAAAATCCTGAAGCACAGTTGCATATGTGTGGTCATCTTCCATTTCTTGTGGCAGTCGAAAGCAAAGCCTCACTGTCTGGTCAGATGGAACGGAATTAATGAAGTTGAGTTTAGCTGAAAAGTAAATTACCAGCATGCATCCACTTGCATGACCCTTCACATGTGCCTATGGAAAGCTCAAACACAATTGTATACATCAGAGACGAATGGCCAGTATGAGCAAAAACGCCAAGAAAAAAGTAGCTCAGCTTCCAATTACATGTACATGTCTCTCAAAAATTAGGGTCAATTTTTTTGGGGGGGAGGGGACAAATTATTTGTGCTGATGGAATGGGGACAAAAGCTACCAAAAGTTGTCACAAAAAGTGATAAAACTTGCCATAATTAATGTAAAAATATATAAATATGTACAGTCAACAATTCATTGCCAGTTAATGTCAGATTTTCTTCCCCGAAAAGCTGTCGGGGGGACAAATTCTTCAACCTTGCCATTTATTGCTGGCACCCATAAAATAGGTAGAAAGGCACAACTCTTGAATTTAGGCATCAGTGTTTTCTTTTTTTCCCTAAGTTCTTTTGTTTCAGCTGTTTTTCAACTGCCCTAGTAGATTTGTGGTGTGTGTTTAGACCTCAACTTGTTCACATTCAAAAGGTGCATAGCAGATATAGGCCTTTTTTTGCTAATTGTTTTGATACAAAGGAATTGCTAGTTGGGATTTTTGTAACGTTATTCCTTTTACCTATAATCCCCTTAACCCTTTTTCATTTGGCTTGCAATGATGCTGTTTTGGTGGGATACGCAGACTAGTTACCGCATTTCCATCATGCTCTTCTGTAGCTGCGCGTTCTGCGATTTTTTAGTCTACACTGTTACTTTTATCCAGAAAAATTCTGCTTTTCATCTTGCCATCGTACCGTCGTACGAGTGCTCCATTGTGATAGTGTCCTAACTGTCATTTTGATGTGATTTTGGTGTTGCCATTGTTCAACTTCAAAGAGAATTTGATGAACATTTTTATTGTACTTCCCACATGAAAGCTAGCCCAGGAATACTGATGTAACCCTGGCCTCAATGACTGTGAGTATTTTACACTACTCCTGATTCAGTCTTCAGTGCAATATATATAGACTGTACCAGCTGCTTCAAGCCCTGTTGATTCCATAAAAACATATTTGATATATCCAGCATTGCGAGTTAGAACCTCGATGTTGAAGTCCTGTCAGTTGAAACCACCTTGAATCCCTTTAGTAAAATTGACTAAGCATGGAAGACCTGCATGGTTGTATCAGGCGGCGATCCTCCCATGAATATAACTGGATTTGTGTCTGTAAACCCAGAACCAAGTCGTGGCAATGTAAACAACATACGTGATAAGCAGAAAAATGGAATTTTGCCGGACGAAACTGCAGGCATACCAGAAACTAGAAAAAAAATTGAACTGTAGCAGAGACCAACTCCTTGGGTTGCGGAGATCATTCCGCTTGAACGCGAATGAATTGAACATACTTCGTTCAAATGATATTTTGCGATTTAGAGGAATACATGCAGGCAATCAAAACTGTTGCCATACATGCACTTCAAACCGTTTACTAACTACCATCATTAGTAGAAGGAGCCTAGAACCCAAAGTCCAGCCCATTCAAACTGTTACTGGTAACAGACAGATCGTCAAATATTCAAGATCTTCATGTTTTCCACCACAACTTAGACAGCTACATGTAACTCCTATGAACCCCAGCCAATCATCAAGACAACCTGCAAGAAACAACCAGGCCATTACCCTCCCTCTTTTTTTTTGATTGACAAATGCCTGTTCGGTACTCAGTAAACTTGACGAAGTTGAATCGAAGCTGTCAAGTGAGCGAGCCGATGTAATGGTCAGTACAGAATTATGGATTACAGCGAACACCTCCCCTGACCAGTATGCCATCAATGGTTAAAATATCTTCAACAGGTGCAGAGTAGGCAGGACCGGCGGTAGAGTGTTAATTTATGTTAAACATGACATACATGCTACTGTCATTGTTGAGGATATTTTCATTCCACCTGAAAGCGAGGGTCAATGGATACTGTTGAATCACCCATCATTCTCCAGGTGTGTACCCTCTATAGTGATGTTTGTACATGTAGTCTACTGTCTTCCAGACTCACCTCATAAAAACCTGCTTTTCCAACACATTATTAGTACCAAAGACTCCGTTTGGACAAGTAAGCCCTGTGCTGGTGTGGTTCTGCTGGGCAACTTTAATCAATAGGATATCCAGCTGATTTGTAATGGGAATAATCTTGAACAAGTTGTTCAACACCCAATCAGAGGGGATGCTATTCTTGACCCCATCATTACCAACTTTGCAGACCGATATAGATACTGGTATGTAGGTACACGTACCGTAGAAGTGATCACAGTTGTGTTACCTGGGTACCCAAATTCGTTAACACCACCACTAAGGTAACCGCAAAATCATTTCGTCCAATGAGAGACTCTAGCATTAGAGCATTTGGAAGGTGGATACAAACCAGTGTTGGAGTCGAGTCCTCAAATCCGAGTACAGAGTACTCCGAGTACTTTAGGGGCCTGGGCCAAGTACAAGTACACTGGTGACGAGTCCGAGTCCAGATCTCGGAGTCCGAGTACATCAAAGGTTTAGTACTGGGCTGACTCTAAGTACCTTAGTCCGAGCCTGAGTTCAATTGCAAAGCAGTACAATAAACAAATAAGTAAATAATTAAAACTGAATTACACAGGCACATGGTCTTCTTGCAACACAAATCTGCATTACCATGTGGATATTCACACCTTTTATTCATGCGAAAAAGTTGATGTGGCTTATGAATACCCGTGCGGAAACATTTATCAAAGACTTAAGTAAGGAAACCCTGAGATATCAAAACTGAACACAAAAGCAAGACTGTATATTAATATAAACCTAAATAAAGACATGTACTGAAATAGAAGCCTTACCCAGTCACCTTATAACCTGCTGTTAAAACCCCTATGACCAAGACAGAAACCCAAACCTGAATCATATCTGATGCCAAGACTGAGACCAGACTAAAATCTTGCAGCTGTATCACAAAACAAAAACACAAGTAAAGAAATGGCTTGAAAGAAATCTGAATGCACCTCAGGTTTAATTATAACTACCAAACACTTTGTACTTGAGAATCCATATTTTCATATCAATAGTAATAGTACTCCCTGAACTGGAATGATAAAAAGGTCTACTGTAACAGGAAACGCTTCACTCCATGGTCTTGCAAACTAATAGAAATCAAGTTTTCCGAAGTTGCAAGAAAATACCACTTGTGCTGAATACCCGCTCTACGGGAGCGCTTGACATATTCAACGATTGAAAAAAACAAGAAAAGTGAAATATCTGTGGCCCTCATATCACGAACTTCAGCAATGGCTTCTGCACGGAAACACGTACAAAGAGACTTCCATATAAATGCGTTGTTCTCACATGCACGCACAAGGTACCGCTAAAACATGGCAGGAACGTACTGACTCTAGCCTGACTCCAGATTCACAAATTAGTACTATATCCGCAGCATGGAGATGGGAACTAGACTAAAATCCTTAAAGATCAATCCTCGTACCCAGCGTGCATTAAATCACCATGCCCAGCACTGTTGATGCATAAATTTTTAGAGGAATCGATCAAGCGCTGTACTCGAATTATACCCTTGAGTACTGGGGCCAAGTACGGAGTATTTGATGTCCGAGTACATGCAAAATTTGAGTACTAAGAATCGAGTAAGGGCCAAGTCCAAATAAATTTTGAGTACTGATAGTCGAGTAAAGGTCAAGTACTTGCATGTACTTGAGTTGTACTCGAGTATGAGTACTCCAACACTGATACAAACACAAAGACGGAATGATGTCAATAATTCCTGTTGTTGCCAAGACAAGGCTGACTTTTTTTACAACCATATTAACCCGGCCATTAGTGAATTTTTCCTTGTCAAACGTCATACCTGCGATAAATCTTGGATGACTGACCGGTTGAAACTCATGATCGCTCAGAGGCAGAGAGCTTTTGCTATGGTAATACACAACAATTTTATTCCCTTAGAAACAAAGTAATAAGGGAAATTGATGTGGCTAAAAAATCCTCCTACGCAGGTAGAATATGAAAACTGCAAAACATTAACCCGGAGAAATGGCACAAGGAGGTACATGTATGAAACCTGGCTAATTAAAGAAAGGTGACATGACCATCCACATTGAGAGCATTGATCTCTCTGATCATTGATCAGTTGCCAATGAAATCAACAAACATTTGGCCAGTTTTTCGCAATCTCAATATCCACTTAATTTTGACAATTTGCCAGCCTACTTACCATCCTATGAGCCACTACCCCAAGTTCAACCCTGGGAAGTTTTTAGTGCTCTAAAAAAATTTCTGTATTGAAATCAGGTGGACCTGACAATGTGCCTGAAAAAATTGTCAAGGGTTCACTTATGAATTAAGCACCCCTATTACTGATATCTTGAATATGTCGTTTTCCCAGGGTATTGTCCCACTCCAGTGGAAACACACAAATGTTGTGCTGATTCCAAAATAAATGCCATCCACCCTGAACAAATTGAGGCCTATCTCTCTTACCTCAATGCTGGCCAAAGTAGCTGAAGGGTTTATTTGTAAGTGGGCAATGAATTCCATTAGGCCCAACATAGACAACAGACAGTTTGGAAATCAAAAAAGTATCACCACCACCCATTGTCGTGTTGATGTATACCACCAGTTAGTTTCCGGTGCTAACGTTCGTAGTAACGTAGGTACCCTTGTGCTTACAGAGTTCACTAAAGCATTCAACATGGGGAACCACAAAATTGTGAAAAACCTTTTAGACTTGGACATTTCTCCATCCATTGTGAAGTGGATTGTTAATTTTTTAACTCAGCGTCGACAAATAATTTGTTATAATTTGTTTTGCTAAACACTGAAGGAGGAGGTTTATAATTGACAAACTCAATACCCCTGGGGTTTTTGTATTCAGTTAACTTTTTGTGTATTATGTTACATCATCACCACCACTTGATTCAACGGGTCCGTCCTGAAAAAGTTAGAAAAGAAAGGGAATGTTTGTCATAAAATGTAATGAGAAAAAGCTCTTACACAACTACAGTGGAACGCCACTATACCAAACACCGCTATACCAAACATTCTGCTGTACCAAACATTGTACTTGGCTCCCAAATATTTGTGCACAGAACCTACTGAACACTATTCAGTTGCCGTTTGTAATTCCCGAAAATTAACATGATAAAACAGTCGTTGTTTTTTTATGTTGGAAAGTGACAACTGGCCATTAGTTCCCCGAGGACTGGAAGGGAAAGCCACTAGTTGTCAACAGTATTGAATTGACTCTGGTTTTGCGACTCCACATGATCGGGTGCGGAAGAAAACCGCAATAATAGTAGTAATAGTGTAATAGCTCTTTCGATGGGTCAATTAACTACATGATTACCACACCTAATTTTTAAAAGGTGAATTTTCAAGTTACAAGTCCAGCAAAGATTAGTTCAGGACTTTTTCCATAGCTTTAGTCAATTATGCTATTGTAAAAATACAACAAAATCAAGAAACTCAGTGAAAAAAAATTGGGTCCATTTTCCCTTTTTACACAGAAATGCCCAGTTCACAATTTGCCCTGTGTCTCTGCTGGTATACGTTTACTAGACAAGGCTAATTTATACAGTTAAATGGAACAGAAGTAATTTGTATTTTTTTAAATTTCATTTGTCTTTTCACAGGAAAGATCTGATACAGTTGACCTGAATTTAGATACATCATTGGTTGTGGACATATCAGATGCTTTAAGTGAGAAGGAAAAAGTGAAGTTCACAGTTCACACCAAGGTACAAGTACATGTATTTAAACACTTGTTCAATTTTTCGTCGTCCCATTTTTTTTTTGTTCTTTTGTGGGTTTTTTTATAAAAGGGTTACTTGTGTATTGTTGTGTTATGCGTCATGTTTTTTTTGTGTAAAAAAATGGTTTACCATTAGCGGTGTCAAAATTTGGAGTTCACTTGTTCGCAGGTTACTTTTGAGTCAAAGCAGTAGACTTGGGTTTCACTTATTATTGTATAGCATTTGACTTGTTTTGGCAAGGGTCATCGAGTTCAAGCTTCTTCATGACAATTTTCACCTTTTAAAAGCTGTATTGGGGGTTTCCATTGTAACAAACACATACTTGTACCTGTGTTCATAGTCATTACTTTGTACACTTCTGTGGAGATCTATCGCTTAAATCAAACAAAACTTCTTTCACTTTGTATTAAAGTGCACAACACAAGTGGGGGATTGGCGTGTTTAGGGGACATCAGAAGATGTGTTGATGCAAGCCTGACCTAGTAGAATCAACATTTATAAATGGCCCTGGCCCCAAGTGATTAAAATTCTCATATTTTTGTGGAAATTCCGACATGTACATGTATGGTTGAAAAAATTTGGGGTGCCGTCCATTACTTTCTTGCCTCAGTTTCAATGTATGATTAAGTCATATAAAGCACCTTTATTTTGTTTTTTCTACTTTACAGACTACTCTGCCATCTTTCAGTGATAGTGAGTTTTCAGTCCAACGTGAACATGAGGAGTTTGTGTGGTTACACACAATGTATGTAGAAAATGAGGATTATGGTGGCATTGTGGTAAGTGGGTGTGTGTGCCTTTGTCAGTGGTACATTTTGTTACAAGAGCTACAGTACGTGTAATTTATTGCATTAAGCCTAACCCCTACCCTAATTTTCTGAACTCATAGCCTAAATCCTCCAAATTCGTCTGATTATGGAGTGTTAACCACTTGCTGCCGGGTGGATTTTTCTTGAGCAAAGCAAGATGCCGGCTCATTTTCAAGATTTTCCGTTTTCAAAGTTCTTCAAAAATTTATCATTTCATTTAATGGCCGTTGATACCAAAATGAAGGAGTCTTTGGGCACTATTCTAAAGCTGAAAGGTAAAATTCATTCCTCCAGAATCCTCATGTGGTACATTGAGCCTGACTCCCTAAATCCTCCAGAATCCTCATATGGTACATTGGGCCTGACACCCTGAATCCTCCAGAATCCTTAGTTGGTACATTGAGCCTGACACCCTAAATCCTCCATAATTTTTAGTTAGTACATTGAGCCTGAGACCCTAAATCCTCCAGAATCCTCACGGGGTACATTGGGCGTGACACTCTAAATCCTCCAGAATCCTCATGTGGTACACTGGGCCTTACACCCTAAATCCTCCAGAATCCTTGGTTGGTACATTGAGCCTGACACCCTAAATCCTCCAGAATCCTTAGTAAGTACATTGAGGCTTTCACCCTAAATCCTCCAGAATCCATAGTTGGTACATTGAGCCTGCCACCCTAAATCCTCCAGAATCCTTAGTAAGTACATTGAGGCTATCACCCTAAAACCTCCAGAATCCTTGTATGGTACATTGGGCGTGACAGCCTAAATCCTCCAGAATCCTCATGTGGTACATTGGGCGTGACACCCTAAATCCTTCAGAATCCTCATGTGGTACATTGGGCGTGACACCCTAAATCCTCCAGAATCCTCATTTGGTACACTGAGCCTGACACCGTAGATCCTCCAGAATCCTTAGTTGGTACATTGAGCCTGACACCCTAAAATCCTCCAGAATCCTCATGTGGTACTTTGGGGCTGACTCCCTAAGTCCTCCAGAATCCTCATTTGGTGCATTGAGCCTGACACTCTAAATCCTCCAGAATCCTCATGTGGTACATTAGGTGTGACACCCTAAATCCTCCAGAATCCTCATTTGGTGCATTGAGCCTGACACCCTAAAATCCTCCAGAGTCCTCATGTGGTACATTGGGGCTGACTCCCTAAGTCCTCCAGAAGCCTCATTTGGTGCATTGAGCCTGACACCCTAAATCCTCCAGAATCCTCATGTGGTACATTGAGCCTGACACCCTCCGAGTTAGAACAGACTCCCAAAGATATGAAGAAAAACCTAAGGTTTAATAAAACACATTAAAAATCTGTTGCTGGTGCATCACACGGTGCCACACACGAACATCTTGGTCTTACATGAAAATCACCTCCAACTATTCCATGTATGCCAAAGTGCGCAGGAGTCTGATGCATCATTCATACACTTTTAGGCAACGGCTAGGGATTTCTCAACAGCTCAACAACTTTGCCCTGTGGCATATATGCGAAAAGTACAGACATGTACACACAAATACCAAGGAAAATTTGCAAATGCTGAAGTTACAGCCACATATAAAACAGTCTTCAAGCTTCCGGCTGTCAAATTTGGCCGTTTTCCAATACTCAACTTAAGCTCTGTCTTAGGCTTCAACTGTTTTTAATATCACTCTTTGAAGCTGTATAAAGTACAATAATTAGTCTAATAATGCCACACAAGAGAGCCAAAAATTACAGTAACCATTCAGACCCACAATCGGGAATTTGGTTCGGGGATGAAGCCTGAGACGGAGACAAAGTTGAGTATTGGAAAATGGCTAAAGTTCCGCTTCATACGCCAAACTACATGTAGTTTGGTACCCAGACAAAGGTATTTTACAGTTTATTTGTGTAAAAACATGCATTTTCCCTTGTGTTGAAAGGTGCTCTGCTAAATGTACAGCGTTCTTTATACATGTGAATTGGTACATGTGCAATTTACATGTATAGTACATACACGCTGGTGTGATAGGCCGGAGCGGTGACTCAGATGTGATGTTTAGAGTTGTCCCTCATGGGCACGGTAGGCCTACCTGAGCTGTGACTACAACTTGGATTTGATGTTTGGAGTTGGCTCTTTGAATGTCGAACCGCCAGTGGTGGTACCCGGCTCTTCACAAAAACAGAGCCACTAATCCCAAAGTTTGTTTGAACTGCGAGTCCACTCAGAACGGGGCTCTGATGTTTCATTTCCAAGTAACCTAAATTTTCCAAATTCCTGCATTAGGCAGAAAATGATTTTGGAGGATTTGGAAGGATTAGGGTTAAAAAGTGAGATAATTTTACAATTTGCACACTTACATGTATAAGGGAATAGATATGTGCTTGACCAGTCTTAAATGTACATTTAAGACTGGCTAAGGAAAAATGGACGCGACTAATGCACCAGTGGCAGGCGAGGGCATTATCAGCATTCATTTATTTGAGCCAGTCTTAAATGTTAAAGACCAACCAAGCACATATTTATTCCCATTTATAAATACTGTTTTAGTCAGAGAGTCAAAAGAAGCCAGTATACGATCAATTTCCTAGGATTCTGTTCAAGAATTGAACTTCTATTTTCCGAACACCACTGTCCCCTTCATGGTCTATTCCTTGTACAAGTTATCCCCAAAAAGCTTGTTATATGGACTGGGCACGCATGTGGCGAGTTTTGCGTGCTGCAGGGCACAGACTCTTGATCAGTAGGAACAGAATGGATTAAACTTTATCTTGCATCCAGGTGCCAGCACTTTATTCAATGCACCATCAAATTGCAGCAGGTATTGGCCAATTGCACATGGTTCAATAGGGAAACTGTCTAAAGTATTTCTTAATTGTGTTTAACCTGTGGATGAATTCTTATTTGCATACATGTGTTGTAACTGTTTTGTTTGAAAAGATTCCTCCAGCGCCTCCAAGGCCAGACTTTGATGCTTCCAGAGAAAAGCTCCAGAGACTTGGAGATGGTGAAGGCACCATGACTAAGGAAGAATTCACCAAGATGAAGCAGGAGCTTGAAGCGTAAGTTAGAACTCAGATTTGTTCTTCTATCCATTTGTATATGTACATGTATTTGAAACTGGAGAGAATTAGCACTTTTATTATGTGTGATTAAAAGATATATTTAGCCTGTGATGTTTCAAAGAGTTTTTATCCAAGTTGTATCTGTATCATCTTCAGAAAAAAGACACAAAAACTGTGACTTTTGAAATGATCTGAATCAATCTCATACTAGGTACTCTGTTAACACTGTGTTGACATACTTACCACTATGGCCCTTTTCAACAGAACCCTCGAGTAACTATGCTCCCAATCCATATCAGTAAAATGTTACAAAGGATTGTAACTTATGTTATATACAGTGATGGACCATTACTGGAAAAAATAAAAAACAAAGTTAATACTTTTCATCAAGAAGCATTTGTTTCAAGAGGACATTTTGTGGCACTGAGGATTTCATATTATAAATAATTCAGAAAAAAATACAATCATTTACAAGTCCTTGTCCTGTGTCCGTTTGTAACGTACGTAAGACATGAAGCTCCTTCGAGTTTGTGGCAGTGGTTTTTGGCACAGCGTGCACACAAAAACGGCAATCAGTGTAAATGTATTCATGGCCCACTGTCAGATTGTAAGTTGTAGAAAGAGGATAAAGGTTATGACCTCTTCGTCATCCTGTAGGGCCAGCTGTGTTGCTTCCATTAGCAACACTTATGTTACATTAAAATTTTTCAAATCACATCGTGATTTTTGTCCATTGAGCCTCAACAGTTGATATAGAAAGGTAAGATACATGTATGTTTAACCCTCCTTTGGTTTTACAGCACAAATATGCACAAGTACCCAAGGTCACTCTCTTGTATGTTGGTGCAGTTTGAGGTGTTTACCAAGTGACCCACAGAGTGACTTCAGCATAGGAGGGTTAATGTACAGAAGATTTCCCGTTATGGCGCTCCCTGATATAATGCTCTTACCGATATATAAGGCTCTATTTTCATTTCCCCAACTACACGCCCATTCACTGTATGTATTTTTATGTGGTTATAGCGCTCTCGTTTACAATGCTTTTCGGTATATAACATTCACAGTTTTCGGCCCCAAAACTATACAAAGCATGTCTAATGATTCTGGTTACAGCGCTCTTTACCTTGGAAAATCAGATTCTTTGAAAATCAATGCATACATTTATGAAACTGAAATCGCAAAGCCGCTGTGATTGGCCGGCCATCCTGGACACCAGTAGTTTCGCAATCACACAGAGTGCAGACACGCAGTGGGACACCCCATGCAGCACAATTGCGAGCATGTGCTCACCATGGTTAGCCGCGCCCGCGTGGCTTTGTTGTGGCGACATTGTAGTGATTATTTTCACAATTTTTATTTATTCTTGTAGTGTAGTTTGGGACACAGTAATCTACATTGAGATACTACATGTACATGTAGTATTTTGTGACCTAAAGTTTTCTTTCTACCGATAAATAAAATCAGCTGCTTAAATTGTACATTTATCATTTGCCAAAAGGATGAGGCGGAAACTTCTCAGTATTGAAGTGTTCTTCCTTTCTGGTTCACAACTGCTTTATTTACAAAACTTTATACATAGGCATAAAAAGAACACAATTCAATCAAGGATTTTAACAAGTTGTAGGCAAAAATGAGGTTTACAATCAACTGTTAAACTGTCTGTTTGTTTCTGATTCTCAGTTATCTGATTTAATGTAGTTAATTAATAAGAAAACAAATCAAATTCAATCAGTGAAACACAAAATCAATGCGACCCTTTACAAATCATTTCAGGCTCCTTACAATCACAGATGATTAGAGTTCTTTGTCATAAAAAATACAGTACGTCCCTTATAGTTAAAGTCCGGCTCCTGCAGTGTGTCAACTCTTGCTTGCTCAATTCTCAGCACTGCCCTCAAGTATTTGTAGACATTCTGTCGTCAAAATCAATTTGTGACACCGGGTAGCACGGATAGCAGGGTAGTTGTAATCAACATCACAAGTGACTACTTAATATCTAAATTTAAAGAAATGGCCAAACCGTGAAAGTACTACATTTCTAATTTGGAAAAAAGGTCAGTTCCTCACTAAAGTTTAAACTTCAAAATAGTCCTTAATAGCTTTTGGATTAAATTACACAGCTGAATCCTTCACCCTTGACGAATGTAACTGTAAAGTCACAAATTCTATTGATATTTTCAGTGAAGGAAAGGAAGTTCATCTTGTCAAAACATCAATGAACTTAGAGAATAATCTGCCAAATAAATAGGGTATTTACACTTACCAGTTTCTTCACCGCAATGTACGTAAGGTGAGTGAGTTCTGCTCCACTGCTGGCCTTGACAACAAAATCTGACAGGCAGGGTTTTCCTCGGTTCTGTTCTAACCTTGGCAGGTTACCGTAGTTGTTGGATGAGGCACTTGAATTTGTGCCTACTGGGCAAAAGTGCCTCTAATGGTGTCGTCTGGCCAACGAGAAAATGCTTTTGGGAGCTACTCAAATGTCATGCTGACACAGCGGAATCATCTGGCATTCTGACTCTCAGCCTAGCTATGGTACTTTCCACATCACTTCCATTTCACACTTCACTCCAACAAGCTCAAGCTAATTTTTAAATAATAAGAGAAGCAGCTTTTTGCCAGAACCTGGCTAACCTAATTTACAAAGGAAAGAGACACAGACACAGGTTCACCTTCAATTCTGGTTTGTTGTTCAACACATCTGAAGTGAACATTTAACCAACTTGTCAAGAGAGGTTAAGAAAACTTCCTAGTGGACTCCCATCTCTGATTCAGCTCTAAACAATACTTCTCTATCAGTGAAAGAAAAATAGTTCCACTACACAAAAGACCTGCATGAAAGGACTCCAACTGGAGGGGTGTATACATTGAGAACGTTCTTGAAGAAGAATCATGGCCTTGTCAACTTAAGTTGGAGGGGGAAAGAACATTCTATGAAAATTTGAGGGGTTAAAGCTACTAATCAATACGCACATCAAAACCGAAAAAGAAAAACATTAAATTAAAAAACATCTTCCATCTTTGTGGAGCAAATCTCGTCTTCGCCAATTGTGTTTGGCGTGACATGTCAGAGCTGTGTTCACTTGGATTTTCTAATGACATATCACTTTCTGTGGTCAGCATGGTTATTGGGAAAAGACAGCAATTGGACTGTCCATGAATGGGGTACACAGTAGCAGTCAGGATGTCGTGGTGGATGCAGACGCAGTGCGTGTGCCGCGATGCATCATGTATGAGGTCCTGTGGCAGTTTTTGAAGAGATTTTGTGTTTTTTTATCGGTGTCATGAAAATGTTGAGATAAATGGATACAAGGCATATACTTCGTAAATTATGGTGCATACATCTGCCAACACATGTACATGTAAATGAAATTCACATGCATGACATACGTGTAGATACATGAATTTATACATGTACATAGAGGCACATGTGTGTTGCACATGTTGGTTATAGTGCTGTGCGGTTATAATGCTCAATTTTGTTAGGTGCCCTTGAGAGCACTGTAACGGGAATCTACTGTAATTATTGCAATATTTATCCAAGATGATGTCGTAAGATTTGCTTAAAGCTGATTTTACAATACATGTGGGAGGCATGTATAGTGTGCAGTCAAATAGTCAATACATTGAAGTTTAGAGACCAGAATAGTCTCAGGAGGCTGATTTATTATTTATTTAAAATGAATTCAGTGTTTAACTTTGTTTTCTTGATTTTTCTCATTGTGTTTGAGAAGATTCCATAGGTCAACTTAGGTAAAGGCAGATAGAATAGCTATTCTTCTGAATTTCAGGGCGTGCTCGCTGGTTAACATACAGTTGCAGGATTTCTCATATAAATTTTTTTCTTCATTTGTAACTATAACAAATTTGACAAATTATCTTTCTGTTTGGAAAACAATGTAGGTTGGCAAAAGTTGGCCCAGAGTTAGGTTCCATTTTGTTTTCCCTGGTATTCTCAAACTGTGTTGTACTACCATGTAAATATTAAAGTACACCACCTTCACTATGCATCAGCAGCCAGGTCTGTTGGGGTTACACAGAGTAAAGCTACAAGTATAATGCTCAACCTTTCTTGAAGGGATAGAGTAGGGAAGTTACAAGAATGAACCCTGAAGGCAAAATGTGTATGTATAAATTGATGGTACGTATTGGTACATGTAATGTCTTGAATGAAATACTTTTTAAACAATGTTTATTCCACAGAGAATACCTTGCCACATTTAAGAAGACTGTTGCCATGCATGAAGTGTTTTTGCAGCGTCTAGCTGCACACCCAACTCTCCGAAATGATCATAATTTCAAAGTTTTCCTGGAGTATAAGGGAGAGGTAATGTAACACTTGTTTTTAGTTATGAAATGTTTCATCTTGATTTGTGTGTCAATAATTTGTTTATATTCTGTTTATGAATGGTCACTTGAAAGTTGAACTATGAAGACATGTAAATTTGTGCAGGCGTGACGTACATAGTGTGGACTTCTGCACAAAGGAAGTCCACATAATACAAGGTACGATGGCATTGTGTGGACTTGCACACATCCGCACACTGTTTTCCCCTTTTTGAAAAACAGTTTCAGAGGCATTTTTGGGTCAAGGTTATCCATGGGAAAAGTGAAGAGGAACAGTCCAGGAAATCATCTAAGATCCAGCTCGAAGGAGTTATCCTAGTGGGAGAAAAACAAGCATTTACCTTAACCACAGGAGAAAAAAGGAATGTCTACATTTCATATGATGTTTAAGTTTAAGTTGATGGGCAACTGTCTTTGCTCACAAACACCTTACTGCTTGTCTGACCTGATCAGACAGTGCTAGAATTATTGCATACATAATAACTGTAGACAAACTTACATATTCATATTAACTAAGTAATCTTTGACCTTCAATGATCAGTATGATGTCGTTTTTGGGGTGTGCGTGCCATGTCATTCTATGTCAAGGCACGTACATGTACTGTATGTGTATGAATTTTTTGCACAAGTTGGTGAAAAAAATGATAAACAATAGCCAGAATCTGGACTAGCAATTGACTAGATGCCTAGATTTCTGTATTAGAAAGGAATTCTCTGTATTGTGGTCAAGTAAATAGTTCTGCCTAAGCAAGAACTCCATGTAGAAAAAGCCCAGTTAGACTATAATTCAAAACAAGCATCTAAAGTAGTGCTTTTAAAAGCATTCCTTTCTTTCTTAAAATCTCAAATTATTCTTTCCTGTGTGATCTAAATAATAATTTGTGAAGATACGTGTACATGTATATACCAAAACACATACTTTGGGGACACAATTGTAGTTGAAACGGTCACACATTTGTTTACCACCCTGTTCCTTGCAGTTGAATGTCCGTGGAAAAAACAAAAAAGAGAAGTTTGGAAGTCTTGTGAAGTTTGTCACAAAGTCTGTGGATGAAGTTCTTGTTTCAGGTCAAAAGGTTTGTGTAAAATATTAACTTCTTTTAAGAAAAGAAACCTCTTTATTTACATTTGTAAGAATTTATTCCTGTTTGTAATTTAGGTTTTAAAGTAAAACTTTGGGTCAGTGACCCGAAGCTGGGTTGCATATCTTTGAAAAGCAATTAAGATTTCAGGAATACCTTGGCTTGTAATGGTTGTATACAGTGGTATATCAAGTAGGGGTAGGCCTTAAGCATGTGACTTTTATTCGTGTTTATCAGGAATTTAAAGCTGTGACACTTCTGAAATAATACTAACACCTTTTGTGGAAAGGGGGTGGAAGAGAAGGGTAAAGAAGATATCTTTTATGGGTAAAAAAAAAAGTTGCCCCCTTGGGCCTAAGACTTGGATATGATACTGTTTCTATAATAATCTTGATCATGAAGTTGTGACTCCTCTGAAGTTTTACTTCTGTCAGCAATCAGTATCAGTGTCAGTAACCTGTACTAGCCAATAAATCAAAAAGGGAATGAATTTTGTTTCTTTCTGTTTTAATCCTCTCCTAATGCCATTATTAATAATGTCTGTCCTTGAAAATTAATTTTCCACATTGTGTTTGACTTTTCGTTTAAGGATGTGGATTCCTTCTTTGAGCATGAAAAAAATTTTTTAGTTGAGTATCACACCAAGGTGAAGGATGCTACCACAAAATCAGATCGAATGACAAGATGCCATAAAGGTAAGTTGTGAACAATTTAACGGGCCACTGCATTCAACTTACCTGAACAACAATTTGCATATTTTCCTAGCGCCAGTACTCCATTTAAATAAATCTCAACTGCTAGTGCACCCTTATCCATATGTACCACAGTGCATTGCGGCATAGCCTCCATGTTTGTTGTTTTTCTTAGCACCGTTACTGTCATATTTCCTGTTTCCTGTTTTTCATTTGCTACATGAGCTCTATGTTTATTTCCAATCAACTGCTTGATTAGTAGATAAAACTATGTATCATCTTAAGGATTCTGGGTGAGGGTATGTTTTCTTGTGTGAATTTTTGTATGTTTTGTTGCTCCATTTCTTACAGTTTCAGGTTACTTGCCATGCTTGCTTTGACTATGTAGAGATCCATTGCAGCTCCCCTTCTAAATACACTCTAGTAGTTTGCCAGAGGTTGAGAGGCAGTTCTTGGGATGTTGATTCCTTTTCCTTCTCCGGTCTAACCCAGTATGGAGGCAGCAACCATCCAGTGCTCGAAGGGCACAAGCAGGTGACCTCTGAGAGCAGTCTGCATTAGTCAGGACTCAATGTCCCATGCTCTCCACTGAGTGAGCTGACAAAACTGAGTCAGGGAAACTGAGGTGCTTCTGCGAAAGGGGTAAGCTGTTCCTCGGCCCCAACACGTGCTGGTCACCTAGGCTCAGCCACAAATCCCACATCAATAGCCCAACACCTAAATGCTGAAAACATCTCTGCCTCCTCCACCTGCATTGCCAGCTTCTTCAAGGCCCAGTCCTTGAAGTAGCTGGGCCTACTTTAATGGCACCGTGTCGTATCTTGTTCCAGAAGGACAGGGAAGCCCACATACATCTGAGTCTGGCTCTTTGGCCTGGAAGAAACACAAACTTGAACACTCTTCATCTTGTGAGATGGAATTTCAGGCTATTTATGGTGAAAGATGGCAAAAGTGCAAAGGTTTGCGGTAGTACCATGCGAAGGAATAAATCTCTTATGAGTATATGTGGCTCTGAAAAGAACCAGGAGTATACTCAACGTTTTGGACTGTGTCCTCACGACAGATTGAGCACGCACTCTAGAACGTTGAGTATACTCCCGGTTCTTTTCAGAACCACACATACTAATAAGAGATTTATTCCTTCGCATGGTGCTACTGCAAGCCTTTCCACCTACTACTCCTCATCTTCTTGAGACTACTCTGGCAGCAGGAAGAAACATCGCTTTGAAGATCTGCCCCCCTCGAGTCGTGCGGACCTTTAAATCAATCTCCACACTAGTTCACAGCTTAGACCCCAGGATTCCATCGGCAGCAACTCATTGGGATGTAGATTTGCATTTGCCACCTTCTTCACCAATAAACCTGACTGTTCAAAGCTGCCTGCCTAAGGAGACATCCAGGGACAAACCTTCAGCAGCCTCTCAGTGGACAAATGTATTATCACATTAAGCTCACAGGGACCTGGATCAGGTTCAGGATTGCATGAATTGGATTATGGGGACCTGTCATCCACTGAGGGCGAATCTGTTTCAGCCTGTGGGCTTTTGCTTCAGAATCACACCTCCTTCTTCAGATGGAAATGGTAGAGGTTCTCGGCTTCTCACCAATGCACGAGTCTAGGGGGTTGTGGTTGCGGCCAGTTTCCATATAATCATGTGTAAATTCCAGCCGTATCGATTCAGACATGGCCACTGTGCAGACCATTCAGCAAGATCGTTACACTGGCCGTTGGTATGCATGTGAACGTTCATGTGTGTGCATGCATCGCATGCAAGACTGCTCGGTGACACCGTAAAAAATTTTACTGTGTTACGGTTCCGGGCTGATCTGAAGTGAAGTAATAAAGTTCAGGTACTTTTCATGACAAAAGTAGAAACAAACAGTAAAAATGTTCAGGTACATGTATTTTTCATTACAATAATGGAATCAAACAGGTGTAAGTATGTGCACCTGTCTTTATGATTTACAGGCACATTTCTGAGACAAATGGGAGCATTTTAGTGACCTGCGCCTGTTAATTTCAAGCCCTGCAGGACTCATCCTGTCATAACCCAACACTTCATGTAGTAAGTTTCATACATGTATGTTCACAGAACTCAACCCGTCAAATTTCAACAAACTCTGCTGTTGTAAATTGATGGGATAGAGAACGTTGGGTTAATAGAAAAATCCAAAGACAAAATGTCTGCTGATAAAGTCAGATCTTAATAAGCTGTTTTCCTTGACAGAGACAAAAATACCTTAGAAAATACATTGAAGGATAAAGCGGCCCCTTTGGAACAAAATGCAGTGCCATGATGCTTCTTCTCCCTGAGTTTCTGGCACAAGCATGTAAGGAAGGCTCCCCCGTGTCACCTGACTTTGCTACAGTGGCACTCAGATGTATGGAAACTCACTCTTAACCATCCTCTGACAGCCTCCAGTTTTAGGAACTGGACAGCAAAACTGTCTTTTCCTAGCAGTGGTATGTTCCGTAACCTCTGGTTCACTCCTTCGTACAGATCTGCATTGCGTTAGTGATGACAACCTACGGGCAGAAGTGGTGAGGAGAAAAATGCCAGTGAACTGAAGCAAAGTGGATTGATACAATCGAGAAACTTATTTTTCGCCTAGTTCTTATGCTGAGACAGGAGCTTATTAGCTTCTTTGTCTTTTGGATCTCGTTCAACACATTACTGAAACCAACTCAAATTCCTCATAACAAGTCCAATCCACAAAACTTGGAGGCCGAGATAGACTTTTCTGCAGGAGAAGGCAATCTTACTGGTTATATACAGTGAGAGGAACACCAGATTCCTGCCAACCTTTTTCTCTCCTCGAAGATAGATGTGGCAGCCCATCTGCACCACTTAGATGGTTGTAGTTAAATTTTTCCCCAAGTCATTGCTATTTACAAATCCTGATATAGTAAAGCCCTTCACCTCTTTTCCATTTTTGGTTTGACTTTACTAACTTGGGCAAAAAAAAACAATTTGGCTGTTAGTATTCTGATTGATTGTTGGCCACTGTTCCATGATTTTTGTTGGCATTGGGTATAGGAAGACAGCGCTTGCTTTTGAAATGCAGTGGAAATAGAAGATGGCACTCACACCGTTAGCACTGGAAGACTGGTACATACCACACAGTACACTTTACATTTACATGGGTCATTTAAGGGCAGGACGCGATGATTGGAGGATATTCTGGGACCAGGAAGGGCAGGATGTGGAAGTGCTGTGATCGGAGGAAATTTGGGCGCGGTGAGGGCAGAAGTTGTGCTGTGATTTTAGGCACTCTGGGCCTTTCATGGGCAGGAGGTACTGTGAGTGAAGGCACTCCTGGCCCAGCAAGGGCTAGATCAGTGGCACGTTGATCACAAAAAGTACATTACCTTGAAATTTGATATGTTGAGGCCAGAGCAGGACTGGATGTGGCTTGTTTTGGAATTTAGCTTTGTTGAATCGATAAAAATGTAACTGTGTGGAAAAAACAAGTACTTTCAAAAGAAAATTGTGGAAATGGAAATTATCGACAGTCTGCTTGATTTGGCTTTTGCAGTTGGTTAATAGGGTTTAAGAATGGGCAGGGTGAAATTTAAAGGACATTGTGCTGCATTACAAAGAACACAACTCATTAAATGATTGTGCTGAGGTACAACTCCAGGGTCCCATGTTCACTTTTCTGCTGTAAGAAGAGGGCCTCATACTTCATAGTTAACGCTGTGGTTCTCATTTTTTTTATTTCTACTGGTAGCTTGGGTAAAGTTGGACCACTTGGTCAGTCGGGGGAGGTGGGTAAAAATTATTTGCTTTCCTCAGAATTTCTTTGAAGATCAACTCCAACTGTTTTAAAAGTTTTGAAAATAACTCTTATTGCATTTAGTATTTAATAAATCATATATTCATTTCCAAATCATGTCTGTATTGCATCTGTATTTTTTGTAATTTTGCTGAAACTTTTGAACGTTGTGGCGCTGTTGAGAAAAGAAATTTGTGTGATGTACCGGAAAAAACATTGAAACTGGTATCCGTGGCACGACTGGTTGTGCTACGAACATACATATACATGAAAATGGATCTACATGTGCGTGCACCGTGTGTCAGGGATCGATCTGTGTGCAGGTTCTACTGTGCCGCATTATCTCTTTTTGGTCAAGAGTTTGTGCTCCTTTTTTCGTGCCTAAATAGTGCGTCTTGGTGGACGTACTAGAAATTCTGCAAAAGAACCGGGATTGAAATTCTTCGAGTTTCCGAAGAATGAGAATATTCTTCAAGTTCGTGCTGTCGTCCGCATCTAATATTCATTACATGCTGATGAGTCAAGGGAGATATTGATATATGTGCCAGTTTTATTAGACTTGGTACTTCTGAATAGGATTCAATATGAGAAAAATCAACATCGTTGGAGTTGGTCTTTAAAGGAAATTCCAGACAGGGTTGGCGCAACTCAGCACACTGCAGAAAGCTTTCTCCCTCAGCGGACTCCAGTGTCCAAACAGTATCCGTGCCTTAGAAGCCTTAACTGTTTTCTTTTTATTTATGTCAAGCCAAAAATAAGGGTTGGTTGAATATGAGAATCGTAGAATTCTAGGGACGCCCATACGCTGGCATGGCGATGGCCACCACCTGCCGGGTTCCTTTGCTTCTGCTCGCCATGCTTCTACTGGCCATGCTTCTTCTGCTCGGAAATCAGCCAGAGTACCCCTCCAAGTGGGCAACAGGCTCCACAGCGGGTTCGCTGCGCTCTACTCCTGCTGCTACGGGCGAGTGTACAGCACGGCATGCAGCCTCACTTTGTGCTGACAGGACTGGTCCCTCTTTAGTTAAGGCTAGCTGCAACGCCACACTTCAGGCACTGGGCTAACATTTAGATTCCCTGGTCACCACCAGAATGCATCACAGTCAACGTTAGTGCAGAGTGGTGCTGCACTCGAGGCTAGTAAACCTTCTCTTCGGCTAGCCGGGTCTGGGGGGGCCTTAAGTCCTTTGGCGGTCTCCCTACTACCAGAGCCTACCGTAAAAGACATCTATTCATCAGTATGGTTCACCAGGCTACACACAGGGGCTACATACCAGGATGGCCCCACACCTCCTGGGCCAGCAACAACAACCACCACACACCATGTCCGTGAATTCAAATTCCATTCATCACCATGGCTTCTGGCTACTGGCTAGGGCTATCTGACCAGTGTGCTTCCGTTACAGCTCCCTGGCAGCTCAGCCTGCTTCAGCCAATCATGGCCTGCATTCTGGGCATGCTGCTGACGCTGCAGGTTTTCAGGTTCTTCCTTCAGGTTCTTCGGCCGAATCAACCTCACATAAGAAGTCTAGACACTAATCCTCTTCTGCAGGGTTCAAATTCAAAAATCTTGCTCTACACTTAAGCAAAATACATCTATTTCTTCATCTAATTTGGTGACAGTGGTCCACTCCCTCAGGGACGCTGCCCATTATAGTCAGCCGCCTCGAGTCAACCTCCACTCCCCCGGCGACTGCTCCTGCCCAAATCCCCCCACGTGAGGATCTCCATCCAATCCTCACCTGGATTTGTAGCCGGCTCCGCTTCCGGCTTCATTTCTGGCTTCACATCTGGCTCTGTCCGTTCAATGCACAGACACCCATTCATTTTATTTTTGAATTGAGTTTGCACTTAATAAATTCAATAATATTTCTTCAACTTATCCGGGTTCTACCTACGACTCACATCCAACTCCAACCTGTGAACATAGTATGCCTGTTGGCATCTCCTTTTCTGTATTAGGTACAACTGCACTGTGAAAAGGTTGTTCATCTTTTGATTGATATTTTCCCCTATATTGGTGTAAATATCAACTTCCTGACCTTGTGCAAATTCTTCCTAATCCTTGGTCAATGTTTGACCAACAGTGATGGAAATTAACCAACAATGTGGTAATTCTAACCAAGATTGGGCAATTAACAAATGTGCAACACTGTCTGACCAATTTGTTTTACTATGTGGTGACGTTTCTTACTCAGGCCTACACTTCTGCTTTGATTTGCCCACTTTTTGGGGCATCCAGGCATGCAGGTGTTACATGTACACTGTATACTCTACCGGGCCGCCTTAAGTCATTTGCTCATACGGCCCCTATACATGTACATTTATAGTAAATGCAAGTCTGGGTCACGCATACTAAACCCTGATCGTGGCTCGAACAATAGCTCATAGGCCTACCGCTACACTACACATCAGACTGCTAGTTAGCACCCGTGACTCCCATGCCTGGGGGCCAGCTAGGTGGGGAACAGAAATCTGCTATACAGGCGTCTCTGTACCATTATCTGGAACTATCCCGGTAAATAAAACGCGATCAGCCTACCATTTGTGTTTTATTCTCCCTACTGTTTTTTTGTTCGTTAATGCCTGCGGTAGATGTCAACGCCCTACCCACAGACCCAATGCCTCATCGAGCCCTCCGATGTCTGAAACTTCATCATTGGGGGATGTTTCTCCAACCGAAGCTCCTGTGAGTTTCGTTGAAGACTTTTTTATGTATCTGTTCCACACGGGCCTCCAGACAGCCGCTATCTGCAACTACTGGTTCTCCTTGCTGGCTGTCCACTCAGTTTTCAGCGATGGCTCAACTCTCTCCGACAATGCTGTTATCCAGTATCTCCTTTTAGGAATGTTTGTCAAGCATCCTTACGTCAAACGCTTTGTCTTATCTTGGGACCTCGGAAGCATCCTACATGTTCTTGCTGGTCCCCCCTTTGAACTGCTGTCCGATGTGTCTGACCTCCATCTCAGCATCAAACTGGCATTCCTCCTTGCAGTCAATTCATCGAGATGAGGTAGCGAGCTGCATGCCCTGTCGATTGCCGATGGTCACATCCACTTAGAGCCACACAGGGTTTGCCTTATCCTTACCATCGGGTTTCTGTCGAAAAACCAAACGCCTACCTTCCGGCCTCCCGACGTATTTGTTCCCCTCATAGCCTCACTTTCGTGAGACGACTCTGACAAGAGATGGTGTCCGGTCCAGACTCTCAATTGGTATATTGCCAGGACCAAGCATTGACGAGAATCAAATTCCCAGCTCTTCGTCACCACAACAAAACCCTTTCAACTGGCATCAAAGGACACTATTGCCGGATGGACGGTCTAGGCCATTATGTTTGTTAACCGAGACTGGGCGGCACAACATGAAACGACCCAATCTTAGGTCAGGGCCCATGACGTTCGGTCCGCCTCTACATCCTGGTCGTACTTCAGCGGAGTCCCTCTGGGTGAAATCTGCCTGATGGCTTGCTGGAAATCTCCGTCTACCTTCACCGAGTGCTACCTGAAAGATGCTCTGCAGAACGAAACAGCCCATGGCAGAGTGACCCTGCTCTAGGCAGTCTGGACAATGTCCAGTGCTGATACTAGGACTCCCAGTCGATTCACTCGTTCCGCCCTGGACTCGTCTAAGCTTACTCTTCCAAAAACTAGGCTGTCTTCTGCTGGCAAGAGGATGTTTTCTGTGGCTGGTCCGTGTCTCTGGAACCAGCTTGAAGTTCATCTTAGAGAGTCTAGGAATGTGGAGAGTTTTAAGACCGGGCTGAAGACGCACCTTTTTAAACAAGCATTTTTAGTTTCTTAGTATTGATTTTGATTATGGTACATGTAGGTTATATTTATGTATCTATATTTTGATGTACAGCGCCTGGGACCAGCTTGATGGATTGGGCGCTTTATAAATGTCAATTATTATTGTTATTATTTATCATTATACTTCGACTTAAAGAGTTTCTCCTGGTGAGTGCTTGCTGTTGTGACACCTGCCTTATTTTGCATTTAGTAACTACACTCCTGTCGTCAACCCACCTCCGGGGTTTGATGCCACTCTGCATATGTAGGCTGGGCAGGGGTATGTGAACACAGGAGACTCCTCCCCCACGTGGTGTGGGTCAGGTCTCCTAGTGTTACCCCTGTCCAGCTGCTCCCGCCCATCCTTCCCCACTTTGGCTCTGGTGGTTTTCACCACTTTGAAAAGGACAAATTTGGCGTCAGGACCACAGTGCATTGTGGAGGGTCAAGGGGCAGTATGCTTAAGTCTTTCCAATGAAGTGTAATAGGCACATGGGATATTTGCATATGTAGGCTGGGCAGGAGTAAGTATATACCACTAGGTGACCCGACCTACTCCATGTGGGGGGAGGAGTTTAACCCCAAAAGAGCCAGGGGGCAGAATCTGGCCCTCTCAACATTTTATCCGATATCCCTGCAGTGCATTATTTTCAGGAGGTGAACCTTCAATGGTCTTCTTAGTAACTCTTTGCAGTCACTGTTACACCAATTTTGTGAAAATCAAACATATAGTTCTTGTGTAGTGGCCACATTTGCAAGACGGATAAGACAAAAATGTATATTCACTGTGTTGCTCAATGAACAGGGCTGGCACATGTGTTGCCTTGAACTTCAAATGACCGTATAACAACAAAACCCATATGTCTGAGTGACCACAAACTTCACAATTGCAATGATAAGGAGTGTCTTTACATGCACGCTAAGTTTTAAAAATCGAGCGTGGCTACAGCTAAGTTCTAGTGGGGGAAGCAAGAGCAGAATCCCTCCACCTACTATGGGATTGGCCAAAATAACCCGGGTCTTTGACGGATTATGTGTATGGCACTGTAAATATTTCGTTACTTTCTGTTCTTTCTTTAGATGTTGCAGCATCCTATATCAAAATTTCAGGAGGACTACTTGGTCTGGCAACTGCAGAAAAGACCGACTTGGATAAGTAAGTTGCCCGATACATAACATGAATTGGAATTATAACACCAGTCAAAAATTTTAGAAATATTACTAAAATTGTTAAATTATTTTGTTAAAACAACTAATTATTATTTGATTTTTGACTATCACATTTCTCCTGTTATAACTGTAGCATACCAGATGCGGTTTCTTTTTTCGGTAGAGTTTGAGAACAAAATTTTTACTTTGTGTTGTTTTGTTTTGTTTCGTTTCTCTGCTGCTTACATCCTATCAAAAGGATTAGGGAACTAATGAAGGGCACTATGCCATTCCAGCTGTCAAGGAATCTCACAGTGTTAAAAACAGGAATCAATCAGTGCTCTAAGATTGAACCCAGTCATTCAGATATGAACTAGATCAACAAAAAATCAAGTCTGTGAATGAGACTGGCAACTGATACATGTACAGTGACAGCCCAAAGTGAATTATAACCAGTGCAGAAGTGGAAATAATCAAATTGAGGAGACACTTGAACTGAACACTTTAGGTCTGACAAGGCCAATTAAATCTTGCAGTCCACTACCCTTCATCCTACCCAAACAGTCACTACTTGATAAGCTAATTTCCTTTCATGCCTTTCACCATCTGCTTAAAACTTGGTCAACTGTATCGCGCCCTCTAGTGCTACAATGCAGTATGGCACCGCTTACATGTTCATCCTTCTTTAGTGCCATTGCTAATGGAAGTGTCATTTTTGGCATCCTCGAATTTTTTGAGTTTTCTGTTTCACTATACCTTCTTTGGTAACCCTATCAACTGTAACATCAAATAAATTCCTTTTCATTGCATTGCATTGATTTCCCCATATTTATGTGTCATTCCTTTGTTTTAAGTAATTTTTGATTGATTCTGTTTTGACTCATTTCCCTATCGTTAATGTCCCCTGGCTCTTATTGCGTCAAGACCCATACATGTACACTCCATTTCATAATTGAGGTTACATATCGAACTGCTCAAAAGCCTCGATTATAGAGCTGCTCGATGCCGAAGATTGAGCAGAAGCTGTAGAAGATGTAGGGAGTGGAGACCGAAAATGCTTCGAGTGGAGATCAAGCACACTTTGAACGGAGATCAAGAACATATTGAGCAGAGATCGAGAACATATCGAGCAGAGATCGAGCCTGCATCAAATGGAAAGATGGAACAGTCTTTGAGCGGGAGAAATCGAGCAGCCATCGAGCACGATTGTGGAGAGCCGATGTCCTAATAGTGCTTTTATCAAAGTTGGACGAGCACCCTCGAGAATGCTTGGTGTTTGAACATAGGGTAACTTCAGACAAGGTGCAAAATAGTGGTTATTATGATCCAAAATATTAAGTTGCTTGAACACTCTTTCTTCCCCCCCCCAGGTGCAAGTTGGCACAAAGTACACTCCACAAATCAGTGGAATTATGTAGACCCAAGTTGCACCAAAGATAACAGTCTCCCCCATGGCGATGAGCCACAAAACAGTATGTTAAAATGACCTTACTTATTCAGCTTGGTCTGATATCTGCAGGCCCCTCACGTAGGAATGTGGCTACAGACACATGCACATGGACTAAAAATATGGTTGAATAATTCAATTTTTTTGTCTGAAATTAGTTTGTCTTAGTGAGTAAAATACCATGATGCACAATAAGTTCCAGACATTCATGTAATATATTTGCATAATTATGGACGAGAATCTCCTGTAAACGTAACCCTTTTATTCATGTATACCCACCGAATGTCTTTTTTTAAAATCACAGTTTCTGAACTGAAACACCTTTTTGCCAGCATTACTATGCATGTGCTAATGCTGCCAAGACTGCTGGTTTACAGACACCAAAACTTGCCTACTGTATGGTGTGAACCAGTGTAAGGATACCTGATCGCAATCCAGGCAAACCGGCCCATGATGTGCTGTACATGAAAAGTAAGCGTGCAATGTGATCTGATTGAGAAAACAAAGATGAGACGAATGTTCTGTTTGTCAGGAGACAAACATAGCTTTTTCTGGGGACTCTTTCAGTTGGATGAAAAATGAAGTAATGGGTGAGAATAAAATGGCTGTCATATTAAAGTCTGCAATATAAAAATGTTTAACATACACACTACATGCATGGCTGGATGGGACATTCTTGTTGACTTCCAGTAGTCAAAGACTCGATGTAATTTTTCAATTTTGTCACTAACAAGCTTAATTTTTTGCTGGGAAAGTTTTGCCGATCGCATTTGCCAATTTTTAGTTCAGAAGGTCAATCAGTTATTTAATCAGTAAAGACTTTTACATATCTCATTCTTTCCAAGTTCGATTACGACTTCTTTACATGGGTCAAGATTTCCTGTATGTACTCATTTTTCAGACCTCAACAGTTTTAAAGGTAGATAACCCCACTAATGAAATTGAGTACGCTTTTTATTACTCAACTGCAGTCAACAAAGCTCAAAGAGGAAAACTATAAAAATTTGCTCAATAAAAATTAGTGACACTTTATCTCAGTTGTGTTACATGATTTGAAATTCAGAGGGTTTGAAGGTACTGCTGTTAACAAGTTCTTTTTTGAAACAGCATTTTTTTTCACAGTTTTATGATCTCCCTTCAGCAAGGTGAATGCTTGCAAAATTGATACGTAGCATATGTGTTGGGAATTTTTACATCTTAATGCTCACTACTTGTCAGATATTATTAAAATGAAACTGCATAGCCTAATAAAAATGTCCTCATCACTGAGTGCTTCATCGTGTTTTCTACGAGGCATGAATTGCCTCCTTGCAATCATCAGAAGCATCCTTGAAGGTCCAGATCATTCGCTCAGGCATCTTAGCCTGTGTTAGGGATTCGACTAGAAAAGATACAAATACTAGAACACTCAATCAAAATGTACTATGTTTTGACAAATGCTGGCAGGTAAGACGTTATTCATTGTCTCTTGTCAGAATCGGTTCAATTCAAATCAGAATAAATCTTCCTTCAGTCTGTATGATTGTTGTGTTTAACCTGAACAGTTGCTGCCCTTATCAACTGTCTTTGCAGATTATCACTGCTTCTTCTGCTGCTGGGTTGCCTGCCAATGGAAAGGCAAGCACAAGCGCTCCTCTTCTTCATCCAATTCCTCGAAGCCCAAGAAGAAGCACCACTTTGACCACCATGAACATACCTCTGTGGCTTGGATGTCAGCGTTCCAGTCCATTAATGACCACCATCGCTTCCTGCCTTGGCGTTAGACCCCCACTGGCCTCCACCACCCTGGACCCATTTCCAGCCCCATCTGCTCTCTCTGGCCGTAATCTATGTTGACACTGGGCAGGGTTCCACACCAGAATCGCACCAGCCAGGCGTTCTCCATTGGGAGAAGGCCGCTCCCCATGGGACTGCACATGGCTTGGAACGAGGCACTGCCGTGTCCCCGCCCAGGCAACCAGCATTGTCTTCTGAGGAGGATGATCGCTTAATCTTTCATGTGTGGAGATATTTTAGTCTCCAGCCAAAACTTGGCATGCATCCGAGTCCTCTCCAGCCTGACCATTCTCCGTTTAAGGGGGCTTACCAGTACGGCTTTACCGGTCTTCCACGAAAAGTCTGCTTTTTTAAAGGCAAGTCTGTCGTTGCTAAGGGGCTGGAAAGTTAGTGAACTCCACGCCTGTGCACACTCAAGTGTGCAAGGAGTCAATGAGCTGTCCCGGTCGGGCACTATTGTTGCAGAGAAACTGTGTCACGAGATACAGATACATATTTACATTCTTTAAGCGGACTGGACGATGTGGGAAAACATGATCGAGTAGGAGATACATTTACATATTGCATTCTTTTCACGGACAGGAGGCTGTTGGAATAAAATGATTGACTCCGAGAAACATCTGCATAGTACATTCTTTTTGTGGATTTAAACTTGTTGAAATGCAGTTTTGACTTCAGGAAGCATTATCAGCTGTGAATTTTGTGCAGTGGGTGTTTAGTTTGAAAATTTGCAGCACAAATTCGGCACCAACTTAAGACAAAAACAATCATGTTACGTTTGTGCCGATTATTTGAGAGTTGGCAAATGTTTAACATGTTTGCTCCCTGGCAAATTTTATAGCAGCAAATGCTTTATGGCATCATTATCGGTGTGAGCCTGGTATTAAAGAAACCTGTTACGGTCCATTATTCTACCTTATAACTTCACGTACACAAAACCTTCTGCGCAAAATTGTGCCCTTATTGAGCATTGAGTAGATCACCTGAATGCTAATGGTTTACAAACATGCATAATGTATGTCGATGTACGAGGTGCGTCCTGGTTGATCAGTCATGTTCACATAATTTGGACACTTCCATTTTCTTCAAGGGGAGGTATGAAACCCTGTTTCTATATAAACAACGTTGGGAAAGCTTATGAGGAATAAAATATTTTTAATCACTTTGCACAAAAAGTAATTATTATTGTATGCAAACAAAACTATTTCACTAATTTTTATATTAAAAAATTCAATACATTTTCTAAGGTAATCCGGCACTGTTTTGAAATAGTATACAACTGTTTTGGGCATAGCACGCCCGCGGATTAGCACCGTGGACAAAAGTGCTCAATGGCCCCATTGATGAGCGACACAGCGCTACTGCTCACTGGTCCAGCTGCATATGAAAGGATGCTACTTGCATTCACCGGAACAAAGGAAATTATGCAACACCTTACAATTCTAGGCTCTCTTTTACAGGGATGCAGGCCTTGGCTGAATACTCGGGTGTCAATGAAGGTTGCCTGACAGACTAGAGTAGCCACCAGAGAGTCGTTCGTGTTGGTGTAAACATCCAATAAATGAACACATGGATTTTTGAAGAATTTTGAAAACGGAAAATCTTGAAAAGGTCCCAGCATCTCATCTTGCTCTAGAGAAATCCACCCGGCAGGAAGTAGTTAACTGTCTTTGATTATACATGTATTGTGATAGTCCATAGGACACCTCCTCAGATGAACATGAGCCACGGCCCCACTTATCCAAGTGGCTGTTACATGCAGATGCCACCTAACCTCTGACATATCTTCAGCATGGGCATCCAGATATAATCAAGACAGAAGCACTTTCCAGGCCAACTTCCTGGATCGCTGCCCTGGTGAATATGCCATCGGTACACTGACCTAATCCAGAGTCTCCGTCACAGCCTTCTGGGACGGTTCTTGTTGCCAGTGGTAGGCCTGCCCAGGCCACTTGGAAGTGAGTCCATTCCTTACCTGGTGATCTCTAATGACCGCTTTGGGCCTAAACCTACCTACAGTTGAGACTATGTCACCAGGCTTTCAGACAGGAAAGAGCAAATGACATTTCCCAGGCAGTCTTCCTATCTTTTCTAGCTCTGCCCCGGTGATTTTACCATCATGATGTTGACCTACAGCTGCGTCTGTCCAGTCCACATCCCCAGGCATCTGAACCTAACGATCTTCAAGCTGTTGGGGTTTTACAAGTCCCTTGGCATCCGTATTCCAGAGTTTCCCCAAGGGGCCCTCCAGAAGAAATTTTGTGACTCTATTCCCACTTCAGCCAACCCTGTGATCTGCAGAATGACCATTCTGTGGCTCTTGCTTACATGGCTCCATGTGACCACAGATGCTGCCATGCTGCCTTGCCATACCGCACACTATCCGAGTGTGAATACTTTAAAAGTGGGCGTGTGTCTGTGATAAGTTCCTATTCGCAATTTCCTCCAGTCAAGTTTAACATATTCTGCAATGAGTTCTCTTCTTGGAGTGAGCTCATGTGGACGCTCGTTCAGTAATTTGTGTCGCAAATGTCATGCAGCCTGACTTCTCTACACTGGCCATTTATTTTTCATGTTTGTGTGAAAATAATCAAAGTCTTCTGTCACAGTCAGGGCACCAGTGTCCACACCGGGTACGGGCCATGGCTTACCTTCAATTTGACATGAACATCTTCAACACCCTTCCACACTTTCTGGTGTTATACACTGCTGATAAAGACAACTTATGCATCCTGCTTTTATAGCAAACCTTCTGTTGGGAACTCCTTGCTCAATAAATACTGACACCAACTTTATCTAGGTTACATGAAGGCTTTGTTTCGGTCTCTGACCTATTTCATTTCTTTTCCTGTTCAGCTAATTTGGACACTTCCATTTTCTTCAAGGGGAGGTATGAAATCCTGTTTCTATATAAACAACGTTGGGAAAGCTTATAACGAATAAAATACTTTTAATCTTCCTGACATTCCACCACCTTTTGCGTGATATGTTCATCCAGTGTCCCTTTGTCAGGAAATTGGTCCTGTCATAAGACCTAAGCTAGGTTCTCTAGAAGTTTTCTTGTCCTTACTTTGAACCCTAAATAATGCCTTCCTTATGATGCGCACCAGCGTCAGGTTGGCCTTTCTTCTGTCAATGGTTGCCTCCAGAGAAGGCAGCAAACTACAGGCTCTCCCCGTTGCTGAAGGCTGTTTGAGAGCCAGACCTCATTCCTTTGATTGGCTTCCTGACAAAGTATCAGATGCTTTCACCTGATCCTTCTAATATATTTGCCCTCTCCATCTTCTTACATACTGGAGATGATGTGGATAAACTTTGGTGCCCTCTTCATGTCCCGAAGTAGTACCTGAATAAAATGAGAGCATGATAGGGACAATAAACCTGTCGTTTATCACTATCACAAGACCATAACGTCCAGCCATCAAGCTCTTATAAGGTCTTATTGTGGTCTTGACTACAGCACTGACTGCTTGTAATATTTGTAGTGAGAATAGTTTTTCAGTTGTTAGCTATTGAGAATTTTAATCGAAAAGCCTTGCGCTGACAGGACAGTCAGGAACAGACTGAATCCTCTTGAGAAATACATGTAAGATGACAAGGAGCTGTACCACAAATATAGAGTTCTAGGCATGTAGTCTTAGGATAGATAGATTTTGTTCTCACCCAATTAAATCAAACAAGTTTAAATCAAACAACTGTACTGCCTGCAGAATAGTACGAAGAATGTCTTTGGCTCAGCAGAACCTAACCAAGAAAGGACTCTTCAGGAGCAGAAGGTGGGGTTCTACAACATTGCAGGGTTTCCTCCGTGATAGGGGTTCAATATGGGACACATAAGAATCCAAAGCCCATGTGATCAAGAGTTTCTCTACATCAACAGGAAAGGGTATTACAGCCTTAACCAGTAATGTGTGATAGTCAAATGAAGTTTGCCAATTGTGTATAAATTTGCTGGCCTGGATCCCACTCATGACTCTCGAATCTTTCATTAAAGTCCAATCAAAACGGTCTTTGACAAAGTTCAAGTTGACTGTTACCTGCTCGGTGACCATACATCAACCCTCAAAGCCCTGAGCATTACAGATATAATTGCAAACATGCATCAACACGCTGCATTGTAGAGAGAACTGTTGGGGTATGGAAGCAATGGCCCAGAGCAATGCATGAGGAGATGAGAATGTCACTGGATAGAGCATGTGCAGTGATTGAAGCTTCCATCATTCTCCACAATGTTGCCAGACATCAATGCCTTCCTGACTTTGACGATGAAGAGGATACCCTTGATGAGGATATGGAAGGGGTTTTTAATGGGCCTTTGGTTGCCAAAGGGCGAGTAGTGTGTGATCAGCCAGGCACTATAAAATGAGAAACCTATTAGTCGTGTCTTGATTAGCTCCTTCTTTTCGGATCATTTTCCAATACAGCCAAACACTTCAGCTGACATTGTAAAACATACATGTACTGAAAGTGACCGGGAGATTGTCTAAGGGGTGATTCGTAAGTGGGTGTACCAAAATTTTAAACAGTTTACCATATTTAAAGTGAAACACAGATTCCAACTTTCTAAGACCATTTTAATTCTGAAATACGATGATGTTTCATATACATTTGTGAACAAAAATACAGGAATTTCAAGACTGAGGATCAAATTAATAATAAGAAGTTAATTTTTATCAAACATTTAATGATAAGTAACAATAATCAATTTCACATTTGCAATATTGTCAGGTTTATCACATTTTTTACCTTCTTGATGGATCGAATTTGGTAAAGGGTTTTTTTTCTTAGAGATTACCCCATTAATACAGTTCCATATTTTCTTGCCATTTCCTCTGTTGTCACAAAGAACACCACAATAATAATCAGATTTTTGTTTACACATTAAACGTTAAATGTTAGCGTTATCAATGAAGCCCCAATCCCACTGATAAGCCGCTTCCTTTAAGCATCTGTTGGTCATATTTACTTTGGTTGATTCTGAGGCAGTCTTACTGTACCGGTGGATAACACCAGATAGAGCAATCTGTTGGGGCTTGTGCTTTTGTACTTCAGAAGAAGACTGGATTACCTCTACCAGAGAGACGATTTTATCCTGAATGTCCTCAGCGCTGTCTTTGACGTTGTTGGTACCAGTGTGCAGGATTATTTCAGAGGGCCTGTGTTGTTTCACTTGAGTGATGACATGTGGATAGATGTCGTCAACCATAACACCGGGTTGAGATGAGCCCTTAACCTGTTAGGAGCACGAAAGCTTATGTCCTTTCACCCTCTTGATCATGGAGTCACTGATTACTAAAACGTCAGTCTGGGGTTTAAGTGAAGGTTTACAGTTGTGTCGTTGGCGGTGTTTTTCTCGATGTTGACAAAGTTGTTGATGGAACGTTGGAAGATTATGTTCTTCCTGTGAATGCTAGATTTTCTCACAGACTTCTGTAGACTGAATGGCATCATAGAATGAGTCAATTAGTCTTTCCATATGTTGAACAGAGTTGTCATTCGTGTCAGCTTCACTGCATTCTGACAATGCTGAAAAGCGGTTTGTGGTTGGCACTGTGGCGGGCACTGGGTTTGGACCATGGTCCGGACAATGGTTGAGTAGTGAAGATGCGCTCGGGGCATTGTGGGTTTGAAAATTTTGTATTCAATCATAATGGGACCAAAAAATGATATAATAAATAATGGAACTACTTGGAGAATCGAGGCTTCAAGTGCCCTGTGACTTTTGTGCAAGCATTGGTGTGTAATGCTTTTACCATAACCGTCCCCAAATACAGAATGCCAGATCACTATTGGCTAAGGTATACCTTTGTAGGCCTATGTGTATTTCCTGGTATTGTGTCATAAAGCTTAATTGCAGACTTCTGTTAATTCTCTGCGGAAAAAAAGAACTATAATCAAAGAAGTTGAACGAGGTAACATTTCTTTAAGCCATTCTTTGATTCCAGGTGTCACAGCTGTTACCATGTCAGTACTGTTGTTATACACCACATTTGCCGAGTTTCAGCCCATTAAGCCTTCATGGTACATGGTTCCATTGGGCATTCCTATCAGCGTTGGCCCATCAGCGCTACAGTAAATCCTGACATGCCTGATCAAAATCATGGGCATTGTATCTTTTTATCTGATTGGTTGAAGCATAATGGCAGTACTGAGCTTTCCTGTTTTCCTGCCATTTCCCAAGCTCCTTGTTTGGGAATGATCTAACATCCATAGTCACACCATAAGTGACTGTTTACTGAGCATTGTAATGACTTCAGCTATAGACTTAAGGTCGAAGGAATTTACCTAGATATTCTGTTAATGGTGAGAAATGCCATCTTCATGTAAAGCATTTTTCCACTTATGCTCCAGCCTACATGTATATGCTGAATTCTTAAGCATTTGGATGTCTATATTGCTGCTTGTTTCACATAATTTCTTTGCAGACATCCAGCAAAAACAGGTTTCAACACCTCAATTAATTTACATAGATTATATTACATATTAAGATTTACTAAAGTCGTAATTTTTATTCTTTCATTTTAGATTCTTCATAAAGGTGTCTGAATCTCTGGAAAAAGTCAGGGTAAGATTATCATTTTCTTGTTCAAATCAAAAGCAAAAAGGGTAAAAGTTTGATTTGATATATTTTGTCCAGATAGTGCACAAAAGTATAGCAGCAATACAAGGGGTCAGTGTTATGCAGCTTTACCATGGGCGGAAATCTTTCCTGGATCATGGGGGGACATCAGTTATCTTATTCCTTTAGTATTTTGTTTTGCTTAAGATATAGAGGGATCCCAATATGACACTTTTAGCATCTGCACACTTCTGCATTTGAAAAACGAGGCTGTATGTGTTAGCTTCAATTCTTAATATGATCAGACGATTGAAAGTAAGGAGTCAAAACACAAAATACATAAAGGTACATGTATGTTAAATTCAGACTTTAAGGCTGCAAATTTTTGTGGAAGAGTCTTTCAGGATGACTCGACACATAAAATCAAAAGAAAAAATAACGGGAATTTACCGCAAACTAATGTTCCTGCGATGGTCATGTATCTGCATGTGCAGTGGGCGTGGTTTAAACTGAAGTGGCGTCATAGTTACGAACCGGAACCGGATGTACTGTGTGGACTCCGCGAGCACGCGACGAAGTTCAACACACAGCGCCTTGGTTTCGATGCAGATATGCGCAGACGGAACTATTGTGAAATCCCTCTATTGAGGGGACATTCAACACTGTGTCCACTGTCCCTCCTGGGATTTCCGCCCGTGAGCTCTACTGTTTGAAATATGTTGAATAATGCTTCATAACTTACAGTGGCAGCTATGATCAATTGCTGATGGTTTATTCATCAAGGTTTCCTTGAGTGTCCAGCTGTGGACATTTATATACCTGCACATTCATGTCTCCTAATTGCATTATAAAATTATATGTTACCTCAACATGGTTATGTTAACAGTATTGGTGAGTTTTTAATCATGCAAAATTTGCGTGTAATCCTGTGCAGGGGTCGAAATTAACGGTGGTCTGCTGGCCCGGGGCAACCAAAAAAATTCATTGGGCCACTGCATTCTCCCAAAATGATGGCCTGGTGGGACAGTGGTCATTTGAGGAACATGGCCACATTTTAAAAACTTTCAATCACATTTTACGACTCGCGTTCCAAGTCACTCGAGCAGCCCTTTAGAGTTCACAGTATAATTTCACTGTCTGCGCGGCAGTGTACCACATGCAACATAACGGCACAACATTCTGTTCATTTCATGGTGTATATACAGCTCATACACGTGCAGCAGGCACCTGCCCTGGTATGTCGGCTGATATCATTTTTTACAATGCCATTTTAACGTTATCTCCCACGGACACCAATGAAACCTTTGCAGGTCGTATCACAATATTAATCTCGAATTAAATTTGTGAACTAAGAAAATACATACGTGTATACTTGTATAGACAGCAGATCAAGTTCTGGGAATTCTTTTGTAGAAATCTTCATGCAACTTTTTTTTTCGATGTCCAGCTGTATACCATGTGTGTACGGTGAATTGTACAATGCTGTTTTTAGGGCAATGCACGGACTGGTTGCTGCATTACCATCACGTCTTCTTTGGCAGTGGTGCCGTGAGCGGGAACCAATTAAGCCTTGCTTCTAAGCATCGAGCAATATTGTGCGTGTGTTTTCACCACTGTGATAGTGAAATGTGAAGGGAACTTGGGAAAACAACAGAACTTTTTTTCCAAATGAGTGGAATTTAAGTGGGCAAACAAAAATACAAGTTTTTAGTTTGTTGAGAGGTGTTTTGTGAAGACAGGAAAGACACGATTTGTTTTCTTTTTTTGGAATTTTAAAATGTGTTTTCTAACTTACCAATTTAATTTTATGGTCGTGCCAAAAATTTAGGTTGGGTCGAGTAACCAGAAGCAGAACTTGTATATTTGGTCTTAAATAGTGTATTTAAATCCAGTCAGGCCTGCCAATTAACTGTTTTGGTAGAAAAAGTTTAACTAATGCAAATGGGCATGTATGTTGGGCCTGATTAATTTCAATACATGTACTCAACCCAAGCCACCAAATTTTCACGAGTGCCAGTGCGGTGCACTTCCCCACTGGCCCTGCGGGCCACTAAGAGATTGAAGTTAATTGTGACCCCTGATATGGATGGGAGGAAAATTTTTATTGCCCAAAAAAGTCAGCGCTGCTGGCATTGCTGTAGATAGCAGTGTAGCTAACTAGAAAACATTACATAGGGAGTGCCCATTGACAAAATTTTTAAAGAACATGGCTGACATCATCTGGAAGATAATTATGAAATTCTAATTACATTTATTTTGTAATTTCAGGTCTCTACTTCATGCTGCAATGTTGGTTTTGTTTCCTGAAATAATTGCCACTAAAAGAGCTTTAAAATGATATATCCCCAGGCTTTGTAGTGGTTGTACTTTTAAATTTAAGAGTTAGTCGAGAGTTTGTAAAAGTGTAGTTTTTAAAAATTAGTTCTTGAGCTTTCTCACACAGATCAGTCATCACACCAATATTCTTCCAATCAATGAGAATTGGGTGAAAAAAAAATCATTTTGAATTTACGTGGAATGACCTGGAGGAAAAACAAAACTGGGCTTTGTATGCTACAATTCACTTTTCTGCATGATTTCAAATTCCTCTGAAAAGGGTAACTTGATGTTTCATGTACATATCTTGAACATTAGACCTGACCTCAAGTGTGACCCTGTGCCCAAATATCGTAGCTCATTATCTGTTACACACCTGTCATCACATTACTCTTGGCGCTTTGTGTTTTATAGGTTTGCTACATCAAAAGAGCAAAAACCGAAAGAAAAGTTACTTGGGCTTAATTTGTTTTCAATATTTTGAACTAGAAACTTGAGACAAGGGTGGCATCAGATGAAGACCTCAAACTTTCTGACCTCCTGCGATACTACATGAGAGATTCTGCTGCCGCAAAGGTATGTTTTGTCTAAGGTCCGTTGATATATCGATAATATCTGATATATCAATTTCACTTTGATATCGATATTACTTCAACATTGAAATTGATATATTGAAAGCACCGATATAATGAATAAAATGAAGCTATAAAAAAAAGTACCTGTACTGTAGTTGTTTTAGACAATATTTTGTCTTGAAATAAAAGTGTCCAGTTTTCGAGGCCAAGAATAGCAGGCAGCAAATTTACCTTTGATTTGTTTTTTTCCTCTGTACAAAAGCTTAAAAAAAGTGTTAAAAAGTAATCGTATGTGGTGTACAATGATTTTTTTGCATCATTACGTACATGTAAAAACTCCTGTGTATTAAGCATACTGTACATTTAGCAGGGCACCTTTCCACACAAGGGAAAATGTGTACACAAACTGTAAAATACCCTTGTGTCTGGGTACCAAATCTTATTGGTTATTGCACGTGCAGCGCAGCGGAGCTTTGATGGCCAAAGAAGTTTGAAGACAGTTTTACATGTGGCTGTGACTTCAATGTTAGTGAATTTTGTCTGGTACTTATGTGTGTACTTTTTGCATATACATGTACATGTACGACACCAGGCAAGATTGTCAAGTGGTTGAGAAATAGACCTTCTTCACAAATAAATTCATAATTATACACACATTTGCACAAATGGTCTTGGCGGCAAGAAGTGTGAATCATGAATTTATGAGTGAAAAGGTTCACAGCCGTTGCCGAAACTTATGTGAATATTGCATCAGAGTCCTGCACCCTCTCTGCGTACATGTACACGTACACGCAATAGTTAGGGGTGATGTACATGTATATTCATGTTGTATTGTGGCATAGCGATTTCATCAATGGTGGTTGGTTGAAGGAGGAACTTACTGTCCCAGGAAGCAATGAGCAACCAGGGTTTGAGCAAGAAAATCATATCGTCAATGCATGAAGCCAGCCACTCACATTGCAGACTGGCTGGAGTATGTATGCCTTCGCATTTGAATACACCGTTCTGACTGCAGGTTGTTGGTGTTGTCAGGTGCTGTTTTGTTTGGGAAAGATTAAAAAGCTCGCAAATTAAGCAGACTAATTGTGCCATTGGTTTTGAGCTTGAAAACATATATTCGAAAAAAATTTGATATATCAGCATTATCGATATCCAGCTGTCTGTATATCAATATCGGCAATTGTCTATAATCGACGGAGCTTTAACCCCTTTGCCACGGATGACGGTAAGAGCCGCCGTAAAAATTGAGATCCTCAGCCCACTTTTCAGCTATTATTCTCAGCCCACGCTCAAACGAACACGGTGAAAGACCCTGGCTCTTGTATATATGGTGATTGGCCTTTGTTTGTAGCCCAGAAATGAAAAGACCAAATTTGCATCATAATCACCAGCTTCACAATAGTCCCCACTTTGAAAAGAGGCAACGAGAATGTGGAAGCCTGAGTAGAGCTGCATGCCACCGAA